AACATTCATATACCACTTGATATGTGGATTAACTCCAATAAAAATCCTATTTTCTGGAGAAACTAAAACATTTAAGGTCTCAAACCTATTTAATATTCATATTATGGAGGTGTATGATGCATCTATGCATTAAAACAAAAATTATATTTTTTATAAAAAATTTGAAATATGTGGGCTAACCCCTATGAAAAAGCTGAATTTTTTAGTTAATTACTATGTATACTATTTACTATCTTTCGTGTTTTTTTAAAAATACCTAAACCCACTCCAAATATTTATATATGTTTGCTAAACTTATCTTTATGGTACATGTGAATCATTTCAAATTTTCCAATGATTAATTTATTTAACATTCAAATACCACTTAATATGTGGATTAACCCCAATAAAAATCCTATTTTCTGGAGAAACCAATAACATTTAAGGTCTCAAGCCTATTTAATATTCATACTATGGCAGTGTATGACACAGGTATGCATTAAAACAAATATTTTATTTTTTATAAAAAAATTTGAAATATGTGGGCTAACCGCTATGAAAAAACTGAATTTTCTAGTTAAATACTATATATACTATTTACCATATTTCGTGTTGTTTAAAAAATACCTAAATGCACTCCAAATTTTTATATATATTTGCTAAACTTATCTTTATGGTACATGTGAATCATTTAAAATTTTCCAATGATTAATTTATTTAACATTCATATACCACTTAATATGTGGATTAACCCCAATAAAAATCCTATTTTCTGGAGAAACGAAAACATTTAAGGTTTCAAACTTATTTAATATTCATACTATGGCGATGTATGATGCACCTATGCATTAAAACAAAAATTCCATTTTTTATATTTTTTCTTGAAATATGTGGGCTAACCACCCCCTAAGAAAAACTTGAATTTTTTAGTTAAATACTATATATACTATTTACCATATTTCCTGTTGTTTAAAAAGTACCTAAATGCACTCCAACTTTTTATATATGTTTGCTAAATTTATCTTTATTTTACATGTGAATCATTTCAAATTTTCCAATGGTTAATTTATTTAACATTCAAATACCACTTAATATGTGGATTAACCCTAATAAAAATCCTATTTTACGGAGAAACGAAAACGCTTAAGGTCTCAAACCTATTTAATATTCATACTATGGCGGTGTATGATGCAGCTATGCATTAAAACAAAAATCTTATTTTTTATAAATTTTTTTGAAATATGTGGGCTATCCTCTATGAAAAAAGCTGAAATTTCTGTTAAATACTATATATACTATTTACCATCTTTCGTGTTGTTTAAAAAATACGTAAACACGCTCCAAATTTTTATATATGTTTGCTAAACTTATATTTATGGTACATGTGAATCATTTCAAATTTTCCAATGATTAATTTATTTAACATTCATATACCACGTAATATGTGGATTAACCCCAATAAAATCCTATTTTTTGGAGAAACGGAAACATTTAAGGTCTCGAACCTAATTAATTTGCATACTATGGAAATGTATGATGCAGCTATGCATTAAAAAAAAATTCCATTTTATATAATTTTTCTTGAAAATGTGGCATAACCCCTATGATATTAGTCATATATCACATATGGATGCAATTATGCATGAATACGAAAATTCCAAGTTTTCTAATTGATCTTGAAATATGTGGGTTAACCACTATGAAAAAATAATATTTTTTCCATAATGTTGTTTGAACTTAAGTTAGCCTCTTTTGTGTTGTTTATAATATCTAATTACATTAAAAAATTATACAAATGCATGCTAAATTAATTTTCATGGTAAATAGATATTAATTATAATTTTCCAGTGAGTATTTTAATAAATTTTCATATATCAAATAAGGAAATCCTATGAAATATCTCTATTCTAGAGAAATTGGGACGACAAAGGTGTCAGATATCTTTGATCTTCATCGTATATCTATATTGAATGCATCTCGGCATTAAAATAATTTATCGTGAATTTGTGAGTTAATCCCTGCAAAAATATTAAGTACAAATAGTTTTTCTCAGAAAATTTTATATGTCGTAGGGGTTAACCCACATATTTCAAGATAAATTATAAAAATATGAAATTTTTGAATTTATAAATAATTTCATCCATCACGGATATATGATGAATATCAACGAGTTTTGATACCTTAGTTTTACAAAGACATCATTTCTAATTTTTCAATGAATAATTTATTTAACTTCGAATATGTCCTTATAAGTGGACTAACTATATAGATTTTCCATTTCTTAAATAAACTGGAACACCTAAGGTCTTAAACCTATTTAATCTTCGTATTATACTAGTGCATGATGCATCTATGGACTAAACCAAAAATATAATATTTTAAAATTTATCTTGAAATATGTGGGTTAACCCCTACGAAAAGATTGAATTTTGCGATAAATACAATCAATACTATTTCGCCTTTTAGTGTTGTTTATAAATACCTGACCACACTTCAAATTTTTATATATGTACACTAAACTTATTTTCATGGTATAGTGGCATCATTTCAAATTTTTCAGTGAATTATTTATTCAAACTTCATATACCACCTAATAAGTGGGTTAACTTCTATATAAACTCTATTTTTTGGAGAAAAAGGAAAACCTCAGGTCTCAGAAATTTTTTAATCTCCATTTTATGTCAGTACCTGATGCAGCTATTCATTAAAAACTATCATATTTTTTAATTTATCTTGAAATATGTGGGTTAAACCCTATAAAAAGATCAAGTTTTCCGATAAATGTTATATATACTAAGGTTTAGTTTCTTTAGTTTTGTTTAAAGATACCTAACCATATTCGAAATATATTTTCAACCGAAGAATTAAATAAAACTCCATATACCACCAAAATCAGTGAACTAGCCCTATAAAATCTTTATTTTTCACAGAAATTTCAGAGAAAAAGATTAAGTACAAATAGTATTTTTCAGAAAATTTGATATTTCATCGTATATCTATGTCGTACAAATAGTATTTCTCAGTTATTCATTAAAAACTATCATATTTTCTAATTTATCTTGAAATATGTGGGTTAAACTCTACAAAAAATCAAGTTTTCCGATAAATGTTATATATACTAAGGTTTTGTCTCTTTAGTTTTGTTTAAAGATACATAACCACATTCGAAATATATATTGCTATGATAAGCCTATGTTCATGGTACATGAACATTATTTATAATTTTCAACCGAGGAATTAAATAAAACACCATATACCACCAAAATCAGTGGACCAAACGCTATAAAATCTCTATTTTTTTAGAGAAATTTGGATAACTAAGGTCTCAAAACTCTTTGATATTGATAATATATCACATATGGATGCAATTATGCATGAATACGAAAATTCCAAATTTTCTAATTTATCTTGAAATATGTGGGTTAATGCCTATGAAAAAATAATTTTTTCGATAATGCTATTTGAACTTAAGTTAAGCCTCGTTAATGTTGTTTAAAATATCTAATCACATTAAAATTTTATACTAATGCATGCTAAATTAATTTTCATGGTAAATAAATATCAATTATAATTTTCCAATGAGTAATTTATAAATTTTCATATATCAAATAACCAAATCCTATGAAATATCTCTATTCTAGAGAAATTGGGACGACAAAGGTGTCAGATATCTTTGATCTTCATTGTATATTTATGCTAGATGCATCTCGGCATTAAAATAATTTATCGTGAATTTGTGAGTTAACCCCTACAAAATGATTAAGTACAAATAGTATTTTCAGAAAATTTGATATTTTCGTAGGGGTTGTTAACCCACGTATTTCAAGATAAATTAGAAAAATATGAAATTTTTAAATTTCTGAAAAATTGCATCCATCACTGATATATGATGAATATCAACGAGATGTGATACCTTAGTTGTACAGAGACATCATTTCTAATTTTTCAACGAATAATTTATTTAAACTTCATATATATCCTATAAGTGGACTAACTCATAGAAATTTTCCATTTTCTAAACAAACTGGAACACCTAAGGTCTCAAATCTATTTAATCTTTTTACTGTGTTAGTGCATGATGCATCTATGAATTAAACCAAAAATATCATTTTTAAAAATTTATCGTGGAATATGTGGGTTAACCCCTACGAAAAGATTAAACTTTCCGATAAATACTATCTATATTATTTAGCTTCTTTAAAGTTGTTTAAAAGTACTTAACCACACTACAAATTTGTATATATGTATGCTAAAATTATTTTCATGGTATATGTGCATCATTTTTAACTTTTCAGTAAGTAATTTATTTAAACTTCATATCCACCTAATAAATGGATTAACTCATATAAAAACTCTATTTTCTATAGAAACGAGAACACCTAAGGTCTCAAACCTCTTTATTCTCCATACTAAGTCATTGCATGATGAAGCTATTCATTAAAACAACAATATCATATTTTCTAGTTTATCTCGAAATATGTAAGTTAACCAATACAAAACGACAGAGTTTTCCGATAAATGTTTTATATACTAAAGTTTAGCCTCTTTAGTTTTGTTTAAGTACCTAAATACATTCAAAATTTATATTAATGTACTAAACTTATGTTCATGGTACATGGGCATCAATTCTAATTTTCAATCGAGAAATTTTATACTCCATATTAAATGATCATATACTAAGACTCCGAATGATAACGTGTGGAACAACTATGAATAACTGCAGTGCGGTTTAGATAGTAATAAAAAATATATAAACACATAAATGTAATATAGATTTTTGTTACTATTTACGGCGGCATGATGTTGGATTTTTGGTTACCATTCGAAGTCTGATGGATATGTTTCCAGCTACAACAATACTTATTAAGTTTCTATCTAATCTTCATTATATGATTTTAAAAATCTTATCATTGAGCACACAATTCATTACTAGTAGTATACCTTTTTGGGTTTTCACAATGTACAGTCATGAGATGTGTTTTATACAAAACCAAGAATACTCTTCATCAATTTAATCCATACAACACATAGTTATTGTATCAGAAACCCATCATGTAAACCCAACAAAGCTTTAAACTTTAGATTTGAATCTCGACAACAAATGAGAATATATATATATATATATCTATATATATATATATATATATACTCTTAGTAGGATAGAGTTAGAATTTATCGACTCGAACGCCATCTCTTAGAACCTCATAAGCATCTCGGTTTCTGCTCTTCTTCATCCCTGCTGTGAAATACACCTTTGAGGAATCTACAGAGATGCTTGTGACTTTGACCCATATCATCACTTTCGTCTTCATCCCTTCCACGTCACCTAGCTTTCCTTTCTCCAGATATCCCGTTACTGTTGTGGTGAATTTGAGGACGGATGAGTCCTTGTAGCCAACTTCGCATACGGATGGGATCAGCACCGTCAGCTTCTTGGTCTGTTCATCGAACTCATAGTTTGTAGCATCGCGAGGGAAGATGCCCACAGGCAAATCATATTCTTTCAGCAACTCAGGCAACGGCTTCTGCATTGTTCCTGATGAATTAATTAAGAAGAGAAGCCAGAAACGGTGCGTGTTATTTATTTCTCTACCTTATTCTTTGTTGTAATTATGCGTTGATCATATCTTAATACAATGGAATATTGTCAAGAAAAGACTCAAGACAAGATACCTTTGAATTTGTTGACCAACCATTTTGCTCCTCCTTCGATACTCGTTGATATCGACTGGAGACAAAACAAAACCAAGAAAGTCAAAAGCATTAGATATATGAGAATCATCAATAAGATTATTACTTATTAAATTATAAAAAAAAAAAAAACAAAAGAAGTGAATCACACAAATGCATGGCCTCAGTATTCTCCAGAGCTACTATATATTATCATATGATTCTTCAGAGATCATGCTGCATGCATATACGAAAATTCATAGAATCCAAAATATGATTTGTCAAGATACCGCACACAAACAGCAAAAAAAAAAAAACTTTGGATTCTAATTTTATTGGGGATGAGAAAGACATGAATATATAAAACGTACGTTGATATCGTCGCCAACAGAGTCAAACTGCTTGTTAGCCTTCTGACCTAACCAGTAGGATCCAACCTTGTTTAACATCTGATCCATTGCAAAGACAGATTCTTTTCTTCAGAGATCAAAAAAGAAGGGAAGCAGAGAGACTTGTTTTGCTTGAGAGAAGAAACAACCCAGAAGAAGCTGATATCTTCTCCTTTCTTTTTATCTTCTACATGGGGGAAGGAAGGAAGGAAGGAACAAGGTTGTGTACCACTCCGTCTCGCCTCGTTGGATTTGTTTTTATTGTTCTGTAATCATTCCAACAAGCCAATTGATATATGACACGTGGTTAATGAGCAGAATCCACCTGTTCGTATTTTTATCGAAACAGCAAGTAAAATACTTGAGATTGCATCATCAGATCCAGATTGTCATTGAATTTCTTTCTCTATAAATTTTGCATTATATTTTCTTCCATTTCCCCTAATACTATTGCACCCATTTACTTGATTTCTTATATGTTTGATTTCCTTGCAAACAGAGTAACATCCAAATAATAATATATCTATGGAAATAATATTTTGATGATGTCTAAATGATAAGTTGAGATTAATCTTCTCGATAATTGTAGTGTGTTAACTAAATTGTAAGTTGCTTTTAACAGAACCTTCAGCTCTTTTTTATAACCTAATGTAATATCAAAGTTCCAACGCCTTTAGAGCCTACCTCCTCTTTGTAAATTGTAAGTGACAGGGTGAAACGAATCGATCTAAATCTGTGGAAATATCAAAGCCAAGAATATAAAATCAAACCTAACTCTTTATCTTTTCAGACCTAACATAATCTTTTGATCTGGCTAGCCAACAATGAAGCTTAACAACTTTAATATTATTAATTAGGACTGGGCATTTTATCCGTTAAATTTGATTCGATTCGTTATTCATTTCGATTCGATCCGAAACTTCCGAATATCCGTAAACTTTCGAATCAAAGCATATACTAAAAATCAATATCCGTTAAAATTGAAGCAAATCACAAATATTAAAATTTTGGGAAACGGATATTCGATCCGATCCGGAAATATATAAATATATGTATATATTGATTATATTTAAATTTTAAATGTATAAAATTATATAATTATTATTCTAACACATGATTTTGAACAATTCTATTCACATTATTACTTATATAAATGTATTACATAAAAAAAGAAAAAAAAATTATGACGATTATATTTTTTGTTCTTAACTTCTGTGTTATTATAATTGCAACTTAAACTTAAAAAATTATGTAAATTCACTAATTTTTTAATTTTTATTTTATATATCATGCAAGAAGTATTTTTGCAAAGCAAATTTATATCAAAATTTTAAGATTATTTGTATTAATCAAAATGGATTAGATATCTGTAAATATTCTTAAATATCCGCAAATATCTATTTATTTCCCGGATATCCGTATTTTTTCGAAGCAAAGCAAATACCAAAATTATATATCCTTAATATTCGAAACAAATCACAAATACCTTGAAAAATATGGATATCCGATCTGCGTCCATCCCTATTATTAATTCACTCAAAAAAAAAAAGAAAAAGGAGAAATTTTGTTATTGTCGAAACCACGACTGGTGAGGTCCACGTTGTACTTATACCAACGTGTAATTGTCTCAGATAAAGACAGGAAACTATATTGGACTTTTAAAACTTACACACGCTTTGGTTCAGACGATTTCCTAGCTATTCGCTTCTCTTATATTATATACGAAGGTATTGGTTGAATATGCATCTATACATTTTTATTCAATTTGTTATTCATTTTCAATAACATCAAAAAATTTTGGATATTCGTAATTCTACAAAATAAAAAATATTAATATGTAATATTCATGAAAAACAAAGTAAATCACAAATACTAATATTTTTGAAAACGAATATCTATATGCATATATATATATATATAAACATATATTTAAAGAATTATATATGTAAATTATCTAAATATTATTTTTATGTAAGTTTTACAGTAGTTTTACTTATTAGATTAATTATATTAGTTATTAGAATTTTTTAAAAATAATTAATTTTTATTTTGTTAATAAATTTAATTATTTTTGAATTTTTGAACTTTTTATTTATTTTTAATTATTCTTTTATGTTTATAGATCAAATTAGATATCTAAGAAAATATAAAAATTAGATATCCGTAATACCAAATATCTGAATAGCTACAAATCGAAAAATGAATTATTCGAACGAAACATAAGATTATGAATACTTTCAAAACATGGATATCTGATTCCTGAGGAATATGCCATTTTCTCGATAATAATGTGTTATGTGGCCTAGATGGCTTTGGAACATTCTGCATCTCCTCTAGTAATATCAGATATCTTTCTGAAAATACATAATCTATTAGCCGAAAAGATGAACACTTCATCTCTATCCCATTTCCAAAGAGTAGATATGCATCATAGAATGTTACACGTTTAACTTCGTTGTACACGTTATCATACTTTTCTTTCTTTTGGTCAACACAATTGTATTGTTATTTATCTCCAACTCCAAATGAATACATACACATCATACATACGCACAGATTTATATATATATATATATATATACATATATTCTAAAAATTTGCAAAATGAAGGTTGGAGAAAAATATACCGGGGGAGAGCGAGTAGGAAATGGAATTGTGGCAATGCGAGAGTGGGGGAGCCGAAATGAAAGAAAGATTCGGAGTGACAAAAAAGAAAGCAGACAAACTTTAATCGGATTGATGAGATGCTAACGTGGAATCGAATATCCTCACGTTCACACTATCCCATTGGATGATGCACGAGGCTACCACACGCCCCTACATCTGGCCTTATCTATGCCCTCCACGTGGATGTTGATCCAACGGTGACCACACGCCATTTCGCTCTTATTTAAACCTCTTCTTCTCCACTCTTATCATCATCATCACCAATCAACGGCAGCAGCCATAACCCTAAACACTTGTCTCCACCCTCTCTTTAGATTTTCATCTCTGATGGCCTCCAAGGCACTCTCTTCTTTCACCACTCTGTCTCCCAAGCCACTACTCCCACATGGGGTCTCCTCCTCTGCCTCTCCGGCTGTTTTGTCTCTCGGCTTCTCCAGGCATACTGGGGGCAGAGCAATGGTGGTTGCGTCGGCTACAGTGGACACAAACAACATGCCTATGACGGGAGTGGTGTTCCAGCCGTTTGAGGAGGTGAAGAAAGCCGATTTGGCCATTCCAATCACATCTCAAGCCTCCCTCGCTCGCCAGAGGTATGCCGACACTAGCGAGGCTGCCATTAACGAGCAAATCAAGTAAGCAGCCTTTTCTTCTTTTTTCCTTTTTCCTGTTTTAAATGTTAAGACATAAGATTAGTAACAGAGATACGTTTTGTTTTGTTGGGGACAGTGTGGAATACAACGTGTCGTATGTGTACCATTCAATGTACGCATACTTCGACAGAGACAACGTTGCTCTCAAGGGACTTGCCAAGTAACCTTCTTTCTACTACCTCTGCTTTCAATCTTTAATCCCATTTATAGTATGATGCTAAAATAGCTAAACTTGGATTTACACACAGATTTTTCAAGGAATCAAGTGATGAAGAAAGAGAGCACGCAGAGAAGTTTATGGAGTACCAGGTTTCCATTCTTCTTCTACTTTATGTTTGCTTCTAAAAGTTGAAAGAAATAGTGACTGATGTTAATATATATATATATAGAACAAAAGAGGAGGAAGAGTGAAGCTCCACCCGATCGTCTCACCTATCTCTGATTTCGAACATGCTGAAAAAGGAGATGCTTTATATGGTATATATTTATTTTATATTTTATAGAAAAACAAACACTAGCTTAAGACATATACACAGTTACACTAACCTATCATTTCTTCATTTTCAGCAATGGAGTTAGCCCTGTCTCTGGAGAAACTTACCAACGAGAAGCTTCTAAACCTTCACAGAGTATGTTCCCATTAAAATCATCAAAAAAAAGGCAGATACTAATTTAAATTAATCAAAAAACAGGTGGCATCAGAGAACAATGATCCACAGTTGGCTGATTTCGTTGAGAGTGAGTTCCTTGGAGAGCAGGTGAGTTTTTATTTTGGATTTCAACTAGTGATTTTTGAAATTAGTACCCGACTTTTAAAAAACATTCTTTCTTTTGTGTCACTCTAGATTGAAGCAATCAAAAAGATCTCAGACTTCATCACCCAGCTAAGGATGGTTGGCAAAGGACACGGTATACATTCAGTTTGACAAGCAATTTCAGTAGTTTTTTAGAAAAAGCTGAATAAAATTTTATGTGTCTTTTTTGCAGGAGTTTGGCACTTCGACCAGATGCTTCTGAACTAGACTGGGACCTCACTCTATGCTCTGGGGAGATTAAAAGAGTAGTAACCGAAGAAGATTCTGTTTCTAAGAGTGGAAGAAGTTATTATGGAGCAAAATAAAGATTGTACTAGTAATGGTAGTAAGCCTTGTGTGTTAAGATGATGTTTTTTTGTAATAACTTCCTAAGTTTAATCTATGAAGGTGCCTTTTGTTTCATATAATAATCTGACATTTGAGTCTCTGATTAATAAGTAGAAGAACTACTACCTCTAACTAAACGCAATTCTGAAATCCAAAGTTAAAAACAAAGAATACCAACGAACCTGTGGATGAAGAACATGAAGCCTGGTCACTCAGTGGGATAACTGAAAAGAAAACAAGACGAGTTAAGAAAAATATATATATATATATATATGAATTGAGACTTAAACATAAGAGTGATACAAGTTGCTTATAATTCCAAACACTATGATTTGATCCAGAGCTAGTATCTGATGCTCTCATACTTAGATTTTATCCTGAACAATAGACTAGGCAGTCATTTTTTTCTTACATTACGAAACTAAGAAAATGACCTTGGAATCGATGAAAAGTAGCATGAGGTATGAAACCACCAACAAAGATTCTTAAGACCACTAAGCAGGCATTAATAAGAAATTTGTACATAAGTGGGGAATCAAGTTGAGTGAGCTTTTTGAGGTAACATTCCGTAAGAAAGTTCATCAACATAGATAGGGGGAACAAAGGCAAAAAGCTTAGGATTCTTCTCTATCTGGAATGGATCCTAAGACAAAGAACTCTGTACAAACAAGTAATAATCCCCAAGAAGAATGCAAAGAGGACCTATGGTTTCGCTCAAAAAATCATTCCTCGCAGTCATCATAAAAGCAAGGTATCTTGTAGATAAATCCACGGTTTTTTGGAATTACTGGTTGGTTGTTGTTGGAGATTGTTGATTGGAAAAAAAAAAAAAAAGGACAAACGATGAATTTTAGAAGGGAAATTGGGTTCTATAACTACACAAAAACCCTTAATTAGTCAAATAGCCAAAATCACATTCTCTCTCCCCTTCTTTCTTCCTATCTCTCTCTACTCTCTCTTCTAAAAACCCAATTTTCTTTTTTTTTCCTAGCTATTTGGCAAATAAACCCATTTTAGAAAGAGACAGAGAAAAAACATTGACCATTGTTTGTGAGGCAGGCAGGCATCGAGATAATAGATCGCCTTCTTCGACCACTGAGAAGCTTTTCTCTCTTCATTGAGTTCCAAAGGAGGGCCCCCACTACCCCATCTTATAATTATTGGGCCTCCTAATTTTGGAAAACCATTATTAATTCTATACACTCTCGAGTGCCTCATATGTTTATTTGAACTTGGTGGTTCCTTGTTTTCAGGTAAAACTCTCAAATGTCAAAAAAAACAAACAAGTACCATTTGCTACAAAGTCAAGGTCTCTCTGTAATGCTAGAAACAACACTCCACACACACACCAAATCCAAACCTAATTCATAGCTGAACAAACATGATGTTTTCTTGTCCTCCTCTCACCTTTGCTTTCATCATTTATCATCCTCCTCCTCGCTAAGGCCCGAACAATTCTTCAAGTCTCTTTCTCTCATCTCCTGCTCCCTCCGCTTCATCCTCTTAGCAACCCTACCCTCATAATCTTTCTGTACTTTTTCCATTATTGTGTTGAATCCTGGTACTGTCTTCTCCAGCTTCTGCCCCACTTTTACACTCAGGTTGTAGTATATCCTAAACAATCTCTGCAGAACACACATCATAGCAAAAAAAAGGATTTAATCCATTTTTCTCACTAAGTTTCGTACAATGCCAAACCATAAGAGATGAGAAGAAACTTACCATCACATTCCTGTTCCATTCTCTTATGTAAGGAGGACGTAGGTACCAAGTGGCTCCTCACGGTACCACTCTTCCCCATAGCTTATCTGATCCATTGTTTGCTCTTTGCTTATCACTTCCCATGGCCTCAACCCTGGTATCACTTTCGCCAACTCTTGCCTAACAATCAAAACATGAGACAACTCGAGCAGAATCAAAATCTAAATTACGTCAAGACTGTCTTGGGAATGAATGGTGTTGATGGACATTTAAGTTACCACATATTTCAAGTAAATAGCCATGTTTTCACCGTGGCTGACGGTGAAAATGTTCTGCTACTCTGTATTTGGGCAGCAACGGCTCCCTGTTGAAACTCTGCTCTTTTGAGGTATGCATCCATCACCTATTATTGATTTTGTGACCTGATTTTAACATTTACTTGGGAGTTTATACATGCTGTTAACAGTGCACACTTGTTTTCATCATCAGCAAGTAATAGTGTCTACCTAGATGATGCCTTTCACACGCCATATCCGGTGGTGCTTCATCACAAGAATGTTTGGGTCATTAGGATGCTCTTTTGCCTTGCAGACTCTAGATAGATTTCAAACGTTAATCTCCATTCTCGTAGTTATTAGGTTCCTTTGTGCTGGAAGTGGCCGTAACGTGTTGTTGTTTTTGTGTATGTATTGATCTCCATGGAAACTGACTGCAACACTTGCAACAATAATAAACTGTAAAGACCAAAACCCAACTTACAAAAAATATCATTGCTATTATCGTTGTTGTTGTTTTACCTTCTCTTGTAAAATTGAGAAAGACAGGTCTCTCGACAGCATCTTGTTTAAAAAAACCCATATCCACCAGATAAGCCTTCACCGTCAAGTTCCATATCGCAGCAGCATAACCTGACATACACCGAAAAAAAAACAAAACAAGAAACACGCAAACAAAAATACGAATGGGGAAACTCTTAATTACCAAACTGATTTTGAGTGACTATTTTTGATCACAAAGTGTATAAAGGCAAATGACTGCATTTCTATTTGTTTCACACATTCTGAATTTAGTGTCTACCAATCCAAAAAACTAGAATTTGTTACTGGTTTTGAGTGACCAAATTGACTGACAAATGTGTAAAGACAAACAATGAAACTTAACGATCATATTGACTGCCCGCTGCATTTCTATTTGTTTTACACACTATAAATTTAGTGTCTACCAATCCCCGCTTATCTAGACAATCACGGTACCGCTTATCTAGACAATCACGGTACCGGTTATCTAGACAATCACGGTTACTGGTTTTGAGTGACCAAATAACAAATGTGTAAAGACAAATGAAACTTAACGGGACAAATCAAAGACTGGACGCCGCATTCTATTTGTTTTACAAATTATGAAAATTTAGTGTCTATCAGTCCGATAATATATAGAATTTCCCCAAAAAAATAAATTAAAAAAAAAACAGAGAAGAAAGAGGATTTACATACCTTACACGGCTGAAAAAGGGGAACCTGGACTCAATCAAATACGGTGGGGCGAGAAGTTCGTTTACTGCGCGCTTCCCGTGAAGCTCAGCTACCTACAAAGCAAAAAAAAAGAAAGAAAACATCCAAGAGTGCTTGATTAATTCGACAATAAAGTAGAATATGTAATTTGGTTTGGTAAAATTATACTTACTATACATTGTTTATTTATTAAAAAGCTTAAGTCTTAATTGTGATAAATATAAAAAAGAAATGGAGAACTGACCTTTTTAAATCTTGTAGCCGTCGAGAGTACTAAAACAAACCATTGGAGAAGCAGCTTTAGCAAATATACTTATGTCTGCAAAAGATCAAGAAGGAAACTTTGTTATTTTATACTCAATGATCTATGGCAATTTTTTCAAGATAACTTAAAGAACATTAGCTTGAGTTGAAAANGTACTAAAACAAACCATTGGAGAAGCAGCTTTAGCAAATATACTTATGTCTGCAAAAGATCAAGAAGGAAACTTTGTTATTTTATACTCAATGATCTATGGCAATTTTTTCAAGATAACTTAAAGAACATTAGCTTGAGTTGAAAATGTTGTGTGCATTTTTATTCTATATCTCTGTGTAATCAAACCAAAGACTGTCCCAATTCATTTTGCTTCATTATTCTACTACATCTCTGTGTCTAAAGCAATTTTTAACAAGCCATGACAACAATCTAGTACTGAAGTAGTAGAGAAACCAGATGCTTTACCTTCCAAAAAAAAGTGTGAGATGTTCTTTGAGTAGATGTTGCTGTTGTTTCCGGGTTCTCTGCTTGGTAATAATCCTGCTGGGTTCTTTATTGGTTAACAACCTTGGTTCTTCCTTCTATTGTGTATTGCAGGGGCTTGCCTTTCACCACATCCTGGACCAAAATTGACACAACAAAAAAAGTCTGCTAAAACCGCCCATTTTAGGTTCCCAGAAATCTATAATTCATAGAATATAACACTATTATATGTTTCTCAGGTTGATTACAGAAATAAAGTTGTAAATGCTAATAATGTAATATAATTGGACCAACATACCTTGTTGATTGTTTCCTTGAGAGGAGCCGCCACCATCATCACCACACACTCCCTTGTTTGGTTGTTGCCTTAGCGTTTGGACTTGGACATGTCCTCCTCGGCTATCAAAATATAGACAAACTCAGTAAACACAAATGTCTTTGAGAGAGAGAGAGTTAATTTTAAAACTTTATTGCTAGTTATGAATAAGCCTCTGGTCGATCAAATAACAGATTCACTTCTAAAATGATGATAGTCTCTACCTGAAACTCTGGTAGATGTGGTGTGCTTCTTTGTGGTGCAGGCAAAGCTAGAGCTGCAAAAATCTGCATCAAACAAGAGATATGAAAATTGAAGCGAAAACCCAAAGTAAGTAAAATCAGCAGGTAAACCGAATCAGAGAGTAAATTTGTTACCGTTGAATCCACGAATGGCAGCAGAGACGATATGCTTGGTCCTAGCTTCATAGACTTGCACAGTTTTACAATCCTCTCTGAAAATCCTATCTGCCAGAGAGAGAGATTGAGCATAGAAAGTTTTCAGAAAAGATGGATAGAGAGAGAGAGATCAGTGAAGAAGAAGAAACGTACCAAACTTGAATGAGAGATGAGAAGAGTGCTGCCTGGGGCATGAAAATTGAATCTGAAGAGATCTTACATGGACTACTTGCCTTGGCGACGAGGTCGGACTGACACGTGTATTCTCTCCCGAGATCTATCTCCGCGCAGGGGAGGGAACGGACTTTATCGCTGGTTTAGACCATGTGGAACATTGTCGCCATATGAAAGGAGGCTTTCCACCGTTCTACAAAGCTCTCTCAGCTAATGAGCACATACATACATACATGCCCAACCCCAACTCACTACTCTTCCCTGAAAAAAATTAAATATCTCAAGTAAGTAATCAAGTAGGAACTTAAGAGAGAGAGAGAGAGATGAATCACAACCAAACCTGAAATTGAGAAGAGATGCAGAGGAATCAGAAATCTCACGGCTGAGATGCACACCTAGTGTTTCTTTGTTTCCCTCGTATGGATGAGATGCAGAGGAGAGGAGAGCCTCATCAAAGTAAATCATGACTATCACTGAGAGAGGGAGAGAGAGAGAGACTGGGTGTGGACTCAGTGGGGATTTGAATTTATAGGCGAGAAGATAATCCAGCCAACGGCTACTTCCGATGATTTGACCACTCGACTCCCTTCGGCATGGCGTACAAGAACACAGTCAAAGAACCTGTACCCGGTTCAATTAATGGGCCCCATTTTCAGTTTGGGCCGACAAATTTAACCCTGATGAATAGCTTATTGGAAAACCATTATTAATTCTATGGGCTCTTCGTGAACCAAACAAATACACTCTCGAGTGCCTCGTCATATGTTTGAACGAAATTGGTGGTTCCTTGTTTTCAGATAAAATTCTCAAATGTCAAAACAGAGGGGAGAAAACAAACAAGTACAGTACCATCTGTTACAAAAGTCAAGGTCTCTCTGTAATGCCAGAGACAACACTCCACACACACACACCAAATCCAAACCTAATTCATAGCTGAACAAACATGATGTTTTCTTGTCCTCCTCTCACCTTTGCTTTCATCATTTATCATCCTCCTCCTCCTCCTCCTCTTCCTCCTCGTCGCCAAGACCCGAACTATTCTTCAAGTCTCTTTCTCTCATCTCCTGCTCCCTCCGCTTCATCCTCTTAGCAACCCTACCCTCATAATCTTTCTGTACTTTTTCCATTATTGTGTTGAATCCTGGTACTGTCTTCTCCAGCTTCTGCCCCACTTTTACACTCAGGTTGTAGTATATCCTAAACAATCTCTGCAGAACACACATCATAAAAAAAAAAAGGTTTAATCCATTTTTCTCACTAAGTTTCGTACAATGCCAAACCATAAGAGATGAGAAGAAACTTACCATCACATTCCTGTTCCATTCTCTTATGTAAGGAGGACCCGTTGTGTAGGTACCAAGTGGCTCACGATACCACTCTCCCCCATAGCTTATCTGATCCATTGCTTGCTCTATGCTTATCACTTCCCATGGCCTCAACCCTGGTATCACTTTCGCCAACTCTTGCCTAACATGAGACAACTCGAGAAGAATCAAAATCTAAATTACGTCAAGACTGTCTTGGGAATGAGATGGAGATTTAAGTTACCTTAGCTGTTTGGGGATGAACTTGTTGGGCATGTGATCAGATTCCAGGACAGTTGTTAGTTCAGAGCCACTGGCCCATAGAAAGAGAGCATGGCTGGGAGTTCTGAGACCAGGCCAAACACCATCGTTTGCTTCCATAACTGCCATGTCCCGTTTCTTGCTCTCAATAGCTTCTTTCTGTAGCTGCTTGTATGTTTTTGGCTCTCTTCCCTTTAGAGGAACCCATGGCGGTATTCCCTTTTGGAGTTTGTGTAGGAAAGCTGTTGCCGCCGCACCAAGCCTCACTGACAAAACAAATGCACAGACGACCTCAACAAAAAATTTAATAGAAAAACTCGTCTGAGGTCTCCCATATATATATATGTATACAACACAGACCTTCCCAAGTGGCAATTGCAGGTTCCAAACCGTAAACCATGTGAATAGGGGCCCACTCATCCATGTCCTCGCCCCAAATGAAAGTATCTCTGTCGATGATTCCAGCTCCATAAGCCGTCTTAAGGGTGATAAGCTCACATGGGCCTCTAGAACGGCCAAGTCGGTCCTTGTACCACCAACCACCGGTCTTCATTATGACTAAACACAAAGAGAGCAAACTAAAGCTTAGTAATCACACGCATCAAAGGAACAGAAAAAAAAAGAAAAAGAAAACCAGTTTCATCATATCCATTAATTCAACAACACTTTAACAGGTTCAAGCTTGGATGTTTTGAGCAGAACATAAAGAGACTTAAATGAATTGTTGCACATGTGTGTGAAACTATGAGTATAGAGTCAACAAGAGCTCAATTCACAGGATCATGACTAAGGCCTACTATATCCTAACACATAAACACAAGAATCTGCACAAAGACAAAGATGAAAGAGCATAAGGTAGTTATTACAGTCATAGTAGCGCTTCTCGAGGCGTTTGTAACCAATAGCCTGAGCAACGTCAATGGGTCGACCCGGCGGGTAAGGCCTTTGTCGGAAACCCCAGAGACCGAAGAGGAACTGTTTCATGAAATCCCAAAACTTATCATCACTCTCTTCCTTTGTCTTTATCGCCTTCCTCGGCATCGGCCTCCCGTCGAACCCCGGCACGTGAGGCACTGCCCTCCACAAGTCCTTGTCTTCTTTCCGATAAGGAGTGTCGTTATCCTCGAGCTCCATCTTGTTCATATCGTCTGCAATCTCCTCAGCGCGTGCCATAAACTGGACCACAGGACTCGCTCGAAACCTCTCCCACCATTTCTCCTCAGCTTCGATCTCTTCGGGACTCGGATTCTCCTTCTTCTCGAAAAGAGGGTCCTCCTTCAGAATCTTATCCACTTCCGGAGCGTGTCTGTAGTCAGGTCTGGTCTCGCACTCCCACAAGAACTGCTCCGCCATTTTCTTATACTTCTCTGGCTCCTCCTCCGTTTCTGGTTCGGCTTTCTTGAAGGAGAACTTTGGAAGTCCAATCGATGCGAACTTAGGAGACGACCGCGACTTGGTGAAGAAGCAATCACCCAAGTTGATTGAAGGAACTGGGTTCCTTGGTTTCTCGAACCAGTTCTGAAACGGATTGAAGTTCATTGACGACATTTTACCAACAACAAAAAAAGAACTCGAGAAGAAGAAAAAATAAATATAGGGTTTAGGAGGAGGAAGGAGGAGCGTGCCCCCTTTATCGGATGAGTTAATAAATAAAAGCTCAGGTGGATTGGATTAGATATGTAGAAGACGAACTAGTGACTTAAAGCCATCACGCCGTTTACAAACTTTACTAAATAACTACTTGCCGTCTACAACCTAACCAAAACAGCCACACAATATACGTTCTAACGTCGAAACGGCATAAAAGATGCCTTCCTTGTACAACAACAAATACATCAACTAATCTTTGAAACACAACACCCTTTTTGCTTTGCTTGTTTACTGCGCGACTCAAGAATAAACACAAACAATTCTCTGCCTTCTTGTTTCCATCCACCAATGGCATCATATGTCAGGTTCTGCATCTTCACAGTCTTCTTCTTCTGCTTCTTCTTGTCTCTGTCTTCTGGCCAGAAAGTCACCATGAGTCTCTACTACGAAGCTCTATGCCCCTTCTGTGCAGACTTCATCGTTAACCACTTGCCTCAGATCTTCCAAAACGGCTTAATCTCTGCTATTGATCTCCACCTCGTTCCATGGGGCAACTCCCATTTCAAACCAGATGGCACCATTCACTGCCAGGTCTTCGTCTCTTGCATTCTAGTGTTAGTACTACATACATAGGGTTTAGGATGCAGCATTTGATTAATGTGTTGCTCTGTTTTTTTTTTTAGCACGGGGAAGCTGAATGTGCGCTCAATGCAATTCATGCCTGCGCAATTAACGCATACCCTGATGTTGTAAGTCTCTAAAACTTTTTCGAAAATATGCAGTAAGGTTAATTAGAGTAACTTACCCTAGAGTATCTTGTCTGTTATGCAGATGAAGCATGTTGGATACATCCACTGTACGGAACGACTGGTCTTGGAAAACAAGCTCGAACAATGGGCTGATTGTTTCGAATTGGTTGGTTTGAGTAGAGCAGCTCTTGATTGCTACATCAATGGGTACGGACACCAGGTAATTTCTTGAGAGAAAGCCAGAACAGACAAAAATTAAAGCAAATAAATGACATTTTGATGTGACAAATGTGCACAGCTTGAACTCAAGTATGCTGAAGAAACCTCGGAGCTTTCTCCAGCACATGCATATGTGCCATGGTTGGTTGTGAATAACCAACCACTTCAAGAGGTTAGTCTCATAGGTTAAGTTGATAACTTTCAAGATCAAAAGGAGAAACAAACTGTTAACTTATGGGTCTTTGGTGGACAGAATTACCACCACTTTGTAGTGTTTATCTGCAATACTTATGGAAGCTTCCAGGTGCATGAAGCGTGCAAAAACCTCAACCATTCGGCGGAGACTCTAAGCACGTTTAATAGTTCAATGGAGAAGCTAAGTTATAGTCCCCAAGTTTGCTATGCCAATCAATAACCTTTTGAATCCAAAACCATTCTATCTAGGGCAATGAAATGTTTGGAAAATCAGAAACTGCTTACCGTTCAAAATATGCTCTACTTTAATTTCTTCTACAAAATGTAACTGATTTGCAAAAAAAGAAAAAACTGCGGAGAAATATGAATATACACTGCAATCTATGAAAATACAGTGCACTAACATCTACTCTAACACTGAACAATGAAAACATCAACTACTCATGATCTGTGACCGAGAACTAGATGACAAAATCACTGACAAAAATTCTAGAGTAGGGAAAAAAACTAGACTTGTTTTCATTTTTTCTTCGAAACTGAGGTTAAAATGTAGTCTCGAACCATTGTGTATGATGAAACAAAAAAAGTCGTATCCTGGCATCCGTAGCTCAACCTTACGTGGCCACGTGACGTGATCTTCTAGCCTTCTAGGCTTCAAATAAACAAATACGACATTGTTTGTTTTGTTAGGAATGCAGAAGCTACTAGGACTATTTTTACAAAAGTCAACTTCACAACGACTTTTGCTTACTAGTCTGAATCAACTAATGGACAGGGAAAACTTGGAAGATCTCACCAAGTTGCTTATTTCTTCTTCTTTTTTTCCCTAAGAAAATAAGGATATTCAAAGTAAACTGGGACTTTGTCAAAGTCAGCCCTATGCCTCCATTGGACTTTAGAAATTACAAAATAATTTCCCTAAAACGTTTTCTGATTAAAAACAAAAAACCTGAAAGTTAGGAGGTTATTGTCACTATCTTTTCTTCTTCATCACGATCATCATTGAATCTGCAAGAGAATGGTACCAACTCTCTAGTATCCTTATTAGAAGCATATTTTGTTGTCATCTTCTTCTTCTTCCTCCAAAGTCTGTTATCTTCACTTTTCCTACCAAAACACATCCTCAATCTTTTTGGTCAACACTCTGTTGATCATTTATGGGCAAAGCAATATCCATGGTATCACTCTTCTTCTTGCTGATCTTCCTTGTTCGAGCACAGAGAGCAGCAGCAGAGACTACTACAGACTTCATTTTCCAAGGCTTTAAAGGAAAGGAATCAGAAATTCAATTAGCAGGAGATTCAACCATCACGCCCAACGGACTATTGAGGCTCACCGATAGAGACTCAGCCCTTGCCGGAACAGCTTTCTACCACAAACCGGTGAGATTGCTTAACAGTAACTCCACAGTTGTTTCTTTTAGCACAAGTTTCGTCTTTGTTATTATACATTCAAGCTCAAACAATGGAGGTTTCGGCTTCACATTCACACTATCTCCAACCCCAAACCGTAGAGACGCGGAATCAGCACAATACTTGGGGCTTCTCAACGAAAGAAACGACGGTGATCCGAGGAATCACGTTTTCGCAGTGGAGTTCGACACGGTACAAGGATTCAAAGACGACACAAACAGAATAGGCAACCACATTGGTCTAAATTTCAACAGTCTCTCTTCAGAAGTCCAAGAACCTGTGGCTTACTACAACACCGACGGCAAGAAGGAAGAATTCCAACTTGCTAGCGGAGAGCCAATCCAAGTCTATCTGGATTACGACGGACCAACCAAAACTCTTAATCTAACTGTTTACCCAACAAGACTGGGATCTAAACCCACAACTCCTTTGATCTCACAACATGTTCCTAAACTGCTGGAGATTGTGCAAGAAGAAATGTTCGTGGGATTCACAGCAGCCACGGGGAAGGATAAATCGAGTGCACATTACGTGATGGGTTGGAGTTTCTCAGATCGTCCTGTTGCAGCAGCAGCAGCTACGTTGAATCTCTCGGAGCTTCCACCTCCGCCTACAAATAAAGCTAAGAAAAGAGGTGACAATGGGAAGGTCATCGCTCTGATCGTTGCTTTAACGACGGTTATATCGATCATGTTGGTGTTATCGTTAATATTCATGATATACAAAAGGAGACTGCAACAAGAGGAGATACTCGAGGATTGGGAAATAGATCATCCTCACAGGTTTCGATACAGAGATCTCTATGAAGCCACTGATGGATTCAAGGAGAACAGAGTCGTGGGAAACGGAGGATTCGGAACTGTTTACAGAGGAAGCATCGAATCATCTTCCTCCTCGGATCAAATCGCAGTGAAGAAGATAACTCCGAATAGCATGCAAGGTGTTCGAGAGTTTGTCGCAGAGATAGAGAGTTTAGGACGTCTGAGGCATAAGAATCTGGTGAATCTCCAAGGATGGTGCAAACACGGAAACGATCTCCTGTTGATTTACGATTACGTCCCCAACGGATGCTTGGACTCGCTGCTCTACAGTAAACCGAGAAGAAGCGGCGCCGTTTTGTCATGGAACGCGCGTTTTCAGATCGCGAAAGGAGTCGCCGCTGGGCTATTATATCTCCACGAAGAATGGGAAAAGATTGTGATCCACAGAGACGTGAAGCCAAGCAACGTTCTCATCGATGAGGACATGAACCCTAGACTTGGAGATTTCGGTCTCGCCAGGCTTTACGAACGAGGATCGCTGTCGCACACCAACGTAGTCGTCGGCACGATTGGGTATATGGCGCCTGAGCTCACACGCAACGGAAACTCCTCTTCGGCTTCCGACGTTTTCGCTTTTGGGGTTTTGCTGTTAGAGATCGTGTCCGGGAGAAAACCGACGGATTCTGGGAGCTTCTTCTTGGGAGATTGGGTCATGGAGCTACGGGCCAGCGGTGAGATCCTCGGTGCCGTCGATCCCAGACTCGGGTCTGGTTACGACGAAGAGGAGGCGAGGCTTGCTCTCGCCGTCGGATTGCTCTGTTGTCACCGGAAAATGGAGTATCGTCCGGCGATGGGGATGGTGCAGAGGTATCTGAACAGAGACGAGGATGTACCTGAGATTGAAGAGTATTCAGGTTCTTCGAGAAGCGATTTTAGATTGAAATGTGGAGGAGACGTTTCGTCCTTTGATAGGGCTTCGGGCTCATCTCTCACAAGGATTTCCTCTAGTTCGTTTATCAGTGCTAGATAGCTACTTATTTAACTCTCTCTACTTTTTTCACTATTTGTACTCTTGTTTTCTTTAAACTAATTGAAGTTTTATCTTAGCAATATGTTTAGAGTTGATTTCTAAATAATATATGTCGGATTATTTTGTCAAAAAAATTCAATATATTAATTATTTAATTGCCTATATGGTTGACAAAATATATATATTTAATTGACTATGGACATCATCCATTTAGCAATATTATCGAAAACTATTAAATAAACGTAGAACTTGTCAAAGTCAATCTAATAGTTGCGTCTGGACCATTTGTATAAACAAGTCCAGCCAACAAAGATCGGAGACAATCAATGTATTATTTATAAAAACTCAATATATTACCGACATAAAGAAAAAAGACATCCCAAGTATGTGAAATTTCCAAGTTATTACAGAGGTTCCTACAAAAAGTATTGGTGCTTCTTATGATTTTATTCATTTACCAACACGGAAACATAACAGAAGTTTTGAATTATCAAACATAACATATTAAATAGATGGATGACGACTGAATCAAATACATGTTTTTATATAGTATCTAACTATGTTAAAAAATCTTTTGTTCTTTTATTATTTTTTGTTTGTCTAGTCAGGCATGATTTTTATAGCTAACTGAAAATCATAATAATTTTTTGGTCGTAGTTAACTACTAACCAGTTGAGTTTCATTTTTTGGCAAAACATTTTGTAAATTTCAATATTTAGAGATGTGAACGCTGAGTAGAAAACAAAGAAGACTCTTCTCTGTTTTTGTGGTGTATAATTTTCTTACTCTTTGACTCCTTCATAGAGCCTCATATTTGTAAGTAAAAATCAAACTATCCTCCTGCTAATAAAGAAACATCTCCATAAGTATCTCTTCCTATCTCAATTCTTTTAACTTAGCTCACGCATGGACACTGCAAGATCCATGATCTTATTTGCCTCACTGTTATTCAGTCTTTTCCTAATTCCAAGCGTCCCCGTTCGAGCAACAACAGAGTTTACTTTCCGAGGTTTTAAAGGAAACAAAACAGAGATTCGTATTGCAGGAGAAGCTGCACTGATAAATCCAGACGGGTTACTGAGACTCACAAACCGAGCCTCAAACGTCACCGGTACAGCTTTCTACCACAAACCGGTGAGGTTGCTGGAGACCAACAGAAACTCAACCACAGTTGGTTCTTTTAGCACTCGTTTCGTCTTTGTTATAATCCCTTCCAGCTCTAGCAGCGGAGGCTTTGGCTTCACGTTCACGCTATCTCCAACCCCTAACCGTCCCAATGCTGGATCCGCACAGTACTTGGGAGTTCTCAACAAAGAGAACAATGGTGATCCAAGGAATCACGTGTTCTCAGTGGAATTCGACACGGTACAAGGATCAGGAGACGACACTGACAGAATCGGAAACGACATCGGTCTTAATTTCAACAACCGAACATCGGATTTCCAAGAGCCGGTCGTGTACTACCAGAACGATGATCCAAACAAAAGAGAAGACTTCGAGCTTGAGAGTGGCAATCCGATTCAAGCTCTTCTGAATTACGATGGACCAACACAAACGCTAAACGTCACAGTTTATCCAGCGAAACTGGGGTTTAAACCCAACAAACCATTGATCTCACGACAGATTCCAAAACTGGCTGATATCGTGGAAGAAGAAATGTACGTAGGATTCACAGCAGCCACGGGGAAAAGAGATCAGTCGAGTGATCACTACTTGATGGGTTGGAGTTTCTCAAACGTAGGAGAAAACCCCATTGCAGCTACACTAGACCTTTCTGAGCTTCCTCCTCCTCCTCTGAACATTGCCAACACCAAGAGACGCTTCAATTCTCGGATCATCGTATTGTTCGTGTCTTTATCTACCGTTATGCTCATCATGCTTGTGTTACTCTTCTTCTTCGTCATGTACAAGAGACGATTGCGACAAGAAGAGATTCTGGAAGACTGGGAAATCGACCATCCTCGCAGATTCAGATACAGAGATCTCCACGTCGCCACTGATGGATTCAAGGAGAATGGGATCATCGGAACCGGAGGATTTGGAACTGTTTACAAAGGGAAACTCCCTAATTCAGATCTCATCGCTGTGAAGAAGATTATTCCAAACAGCAGACAAGGCGTAAGAGAATTCATGGCAGAGATAGAGAGCTTAGGGCGTGTGAGGCATAGGAACCTGGTGAATCTCCAAGGATGGTGCAAACATAGAAAAGATCTTTTGTTGATTTATGATTACATCCCCAACGGAAGCTTGGACTCGCTTCTCTACAGTGTCCCGAGGAGAACCGGCGCCGTTTTGCCGTGGAACGCGCGTTTTGAGATCGCCAAAGGAGTCGCGTCTGGGTTGCTGTATCTCCACGAAGAGTGGGAACAGATCGTGGTGCACAGAGACGTGAAGCCAAGCAACGTTCTGATAGAATCAAACATGAACCCTAGGTTGGGAGATTTCGGGCTTGCGAGGCTTTACGAAAGAGGGACGATGTCGGAGACGACAGGACTCGTTGGGACGATTGGGTACATGGCCCCTGAGTTAGCTCGTAACGGTAAACCCTCGTCTGCGTCTGATGCTTTCGCGTTTGGCGTTTTGCTGTTGGAGATGGTGTGCGGGAGGAAACCAACGGATTCCGGTAGCTTCTTCATAGTCGATTGGGTTATGGATCTGCACGCGAGCGGTGAGATTCTCAGTGCAGTTGATCCCAGACTTGGATCTGATTACGACGGCGGCGAAGCAAGGGTCGCTCTCGCCGCGGGGTTGCTGTGTTGCCACCAAAATCCGGAGTCTCGGCCGTCGATGAAAGGGGTGCTTAGGTTTCTAAACGGAGATGAGGAAGTTGCTGAGTTTGACGATGACTGGAGGTATTCAAAGTCATCAAGAAGCGATTTTGGATCGAGATTTGTAGGATGTGTTTCATCAACGAGCTCAAAAGCTTCTTCTCCGTTCGTTACTAGGATCACTTCCACTTCTCATGTTAATAGTGGTTGATAGATACACCACTGTATACTTATCACTTCCACAAACCTTTTTCTTGTTAATTTAATTCCAGTTTGTGCACACAAAAATAAATTAATTCCAGTTTTATCCTTAAACGATACGCAGTTTTTCTTGTTAATTTTAATTATGTGATCTCTGCGTGTTAACTATACACAGTGTAAAAGTACAGGATCCTTGACCCAAAAACCAAACAGTATACCCCCCAAACCAAATTGCATAACGAGTTGCTACGTGCAGATCGGTTTATGCCCAACAAACCGGTTTATATGTTCTTTGTATTTCTGTAAAAGCAAAGCAATCAACAAATGTCATTTTGTTTTATACTACAGAGATATTTGAATTTTGGATCTATAGAATGCCAATAACAAATCCAAATCAGAGACTAAAGTTGGAAACGAAAACATCAAATTTTATATACAAACCAAAGTGGGCAATTTAGAGATGAAAATATTGGGACTAGGGAATTGCTATGTGCATAACAAAGAAGAAGACTGATGTATTGATGTTCACCGAGGGGGAGGAGCATTAGCATAATGAACAAGAGTCGGACGGTCATAAGCAACGAGAGGCAATTTGTCAATGTACATTAACAACCTCTTCGCGTTCTCCTTGTTTATCTCCGGTAACTCCACAATCTCTCTGCTCGAAGTGTAAACCCATAGATCACCAGAATTCACTCTTTTCAAGCTCCCTCTACAGAATGGGCACGACTGAGATCTCAAGCGCCTGTTTCAAACATGAGTAGTAATCATTTCAATTAGACTTTGATAACAAAACACCAGAGTCTTCGTAGAGTGGAAAAAAAAACAGAAGAGGAAGCACTTCTCACCAGTCTCTGTAGCAATTTATACACATGGAGTGATTGCAAGTAGGAAGCACAACTTTATTGCGAATCTCCAAGCATATTCCACACTCTTCTTCCCTCTCCAAATCCACCTCTGACATCTTTCCTTTCTCTGTTGCGTCCTTTTTCCGATATCTTTTCTCGCATATTTCCTTTTGTTTCCTTTCTTCTACGTCGTTTATCCCTCCGTGAAGTTGCAATAGGGAAGGAAACAACACATCTGCCCCCACACACAGCAACATCCATTACAAACACTATTATCGGATTAACTTCCTAATCAAATACTAAGTGTGAAATACTTACCATAGAACTCTTTGATACTAGCTTTCCGTTCATAAAGCGACATTGTGGTCTTCCCATCAATGTATGCCTATAAAAATATATAAACAGATAGAAACATCACATCAAAGAAGATAGGATATTTATAAAAAAAGAGAAGAAGAAGATGAGTACCTTATAAATAAAGATCCTAAGCAATCCCAAAGCGCCAGCGAAGTGACAATCAGTCCACTGAAGAAGGAAAAGAAAGAGGTGAGCCGCGGGGCTGTAAGACAGTCTCATCTGGACGACGCCACCATCACACTCCTCTGGATACTCAGATGCCCTTCAAAAGAGAGATTACAATAAAAAAAACTTCAAACAATACTATTCACAAGTCTTATCCAGTAAACCGAAGTCAAACATGGGATAGAATCCCAGACTAATATATAATAATAAAATAATTGACGAGTTTTGAGGAATGAGTGGTGGTGGCGTCTGAGACTGGCTAAAGAAATAAAATTGACATTTTACATAAAGCTCAGCGTAAACGCAAAGTCTCAAAATTCATTTTGGCAACAGCAAGCAAACCCCCCCCCCCCCCATCAGACTGACTAACCATCTGGAAACAGTTTGATCTATCGAACCGCGGAACCATAATTGAGTAGGCAAGAGACATCAAACGAAATTTCAGACCGATCATTCATTCTCCACATGAACACGATCAGATTCCATGGGAACACAATATATATATATATACTTTGCGTGTATTATTAACAGAGAGAGAGGGAGAGAGATTTACAGGGTGTTGGCGAACTGGATATCAGCTTCGAGAGCTTTCAGTGAATCCTTGAACGACTTTCGCATCTTTTTTTTCTCTTTCTCTTTACTCTTTGACGACGAGACGATCCGACATAAACCAGAGCTTCCAAACAGTGTGATCGACAAGACAAGACAAGACAAAACCCTAGCCCTTTTTCTTTTAATCTTTGAGATCAAAACTCCACCGAAAATATCGCAAACCCTAACAGCTCTAATAGAATCTCTTTCCCATTCCCATGGAAGATTTTTTTTTTCTTTTTTGGGAGATTTACTCACTCAACCGAGGAGGTAACGACAGGGGGAGAGAGAGAGAAAGAAAAAGAAAGTAAGTTTGCTTAAATTCGCGTAGAGCACACGTAATAATTAATAGAGATCACACAATATTTAACATAACAAAGCGTCTAAAGTAAAGGCTCCTTCCTTCCTTCCTTCCTTCCTTTTTTTCTTTGTTCTACAAGGAATTATAAAATAGACCATTATCTGTGGGGATTAGCCAAATTACCATAAAACCATAGCTTGGGCTCCACTTTACAAGGACTAGGATAATATTATTTATTTAACTGATAGAAAAACAATCAAGTGACAGGACGTGTGTCCACTGCTCCAGGCGGCTGTGTGTGCAACTCTGCGCCTTGTACAGTTACGTGACCGACATGTGTCTGCGTGTCAGTGGGGACCACCGCCACTTCACACGTGTCGCAATAAATAAGCCCTCTAGCTTTTAACGTGTTTTGGAGAGATACCACACTTAATGCAAATACACGACCCTTAACTGACTGTTTATGGACCATTTGCATGCTTGGATCTCGTAAGGCCTCGTAATTTGCTTTCTTATTTTGGCTTTCAGTTTCCTTATACGACCTACGTGTGCTTTAAAACAATGAATGGATGTGTGTAAAAGGATCAAACAATTATACGTAATTTGTTGACATGATTTGTTATCATATTATTAGATAAACAAAATTAATTAATAGCGATAATGACTCACCGCTAATTCAACTTCGCAATGATGAGGCCAGAAATAGATACAATTTTTTCTTTTCTTTTTGAGCTCTCGTCAGAAAGATAGGAAACTTAATCAGTATTAAAACGTAACTCCTATAAAATGCTAACAATATTAATAGAAAACTATGATCTTTTACATGATTTTTAACATCTACTTAGATAATAATAATTATAATAGCTATATTTTGGTTCAGTTATATTATTATACAAATCAGATTATGTAAAAAGTTATTTTCTTTGCTTTTAATAAAGGAAGGCCCACGTCCTCTAAATTCTAAAAATAAACGCAATAAAAAAAGCGGGTGACGATTCAAGTACAAACAAAGCAGGGCATAATCACAATCATACTCTATCATTGGCCTCAAACCTCACCGTTTGTCTCATTGTCCACACTAACTTATTTTAAGATATTATTATACTTTTTTACTCTTAATCTATATGGATCCTGTCATACAAGTTGCTATACAATTCCTGATATATCCTAACTGTTAGTTGTACCAAACTTCACTATTCTATAAAATTATCTACATTAACTTCACTCCTACGATATAGTAACAAAAACTACTCCACGTTCGAATTGACAGTGTTTGGTAGTATTATTTACCTCAGTATCAGTTTCTTTGGTTCAAGAGATTTCTCCTTGGAAAAATAATCGAATGTCAGAAAGGGATGGACTCCTCCTGGTCGATGAGGATGTGGTTGGGAATCTTCAAGTTAGATTCACTTAAATTCCATCCAGCAGTATCCAATTTGAACAAGAAATCATCAAACTTGTTGTCCATTTCCGACAAGCTTTGCTTCAGCCAATTGAACACACTATCCTTGTTTTTCAAGCTTTCTTCCATGTTCTCGTATAACCAATATGCTTGCCAAAGACATCTCAACACGTCTCTGCTTGTGGCATTCACCTGCATTATTAGTTCACAGAGATCAAGTAAAAGGCAGAAGGAATGCGTAAGAATACAAAAATAACCCACATATTACGTAAAGGAAGGTAGTTTTTAGATAAGAAATGATAAAAGAGTAAAGGGTCGAGAGATAATAAGAGCATATAACCCTTGCTAGCTAAAACAAAGAAAAGATTGACTATAAATCCCCAAAGATACCAAGATAACTCTCCAACAACTGTAAAAGTTTTGTTTGTTCACTTTATTAAGCACTCCCTATTTCGTATGCTTCTCCATTAACTTACTCTAATTATAAGAAGCAAACTATAAATAAGCTCCACGAATACTCTTCAAAGTCCTAACAATAAATTAATCACCCACCAATGAATCTCCATGAGGTTACTTTAGACACAAACACGAGAATAATACTTTCTCAGTTTTTTTTCTTTCTCACAATGCAATAAGTAGGAATCATGACAGAACTGATACATGCAAATGTGATGCTTAGTTTATTAGATTAGGAGGCGAGTGAGAAGCGGAAAAGACTCTTTTTTATTTTAATATGGTCACGCACATACCTTAAAAGATACAGAAAACTCGGTATCCTCGTCCAACTTATTCAACGTGAGAATATATTTCTCCTTTGCGTATATCTTAAGGAGTGCTTTAACCTGGAAGTCAACGTTTCAAATACTCTCACGAGTACAGATGGACGTAGTTTAAATGGAATAAAAAGATTACCTTTAAAACAGACTTCTCCAAACCAGATACGTCTTCGAGAGAAACACCAAAGATGATCCGAGGTTTCATAAATCTCTGCCATACCAAAATGTTTTCTCGCTTGTTGCAGTCAACATACCCTGTCAACAGTCAAAAATGGGTCTTACTTCGAGGTTGAGTAATAAACTAGAAAAAAATGGAGGAACATTCTAACCTGGTACAACAGAGTGCACAACATGAGACTGTACTAGGATACGAGCACGCTTTAGATTTATCTGGCAAATTTTCAGTCAAAGTATTATTCAATTTATCCAAATTTTCTCATATTAAATTTCAAATTTGTAAGAAAATCAGTGTGAGCACTCTTACTGTGTTAAATCGTAGGACTGCAAGCGACTGGTAACGTAGCCATAGATGAACAAGTCTTATGCTCGTCCATGTAAGTGACACAAAGGGAAATGACTTTACAAGGCCTGGTGTGTCCTGCATCAACGTATACAATACGCTCAACATAAAACAAATAATAACAGGATCCAACTGGGGCAATTGATGAATAGATTTGAAAGAAATAACACAATGACCAAGTAACATACAATGATAAGAATGCCTAGACCAAGACCAATCAGCTGCGCAGCAACTTCCCACACTTCCTCCTGAAATGTTGAAAAAGAATCAGAGACTGCAAACACATACTTCATGGTCGTTATTTGGGGGGGATTGATTAGACATACATGAGTAGCATACCTTGGCTGCTACCTCTCCAAGATTTCCTGAGATAGCAAAATGATTCTGTATGACCCTGAATGAAGGGTCTCGCAATCCTCTAGCCACGGCCTATTTCAAATAAAAAATATCAGTACGTGAATTCTTGATTAAGACTATATAAATGAAAGATTTGGAGCTGGCATGTAAAGGGAACCACCTTTGCAAGATTTCCCGTCGATGCTAATAGTAGGAACTGGGTTGGATATAGTTGCGTCGCCAGATCAAAGAAGCTGCAAAACAAAAAGAAAAGAAAAAAAACCTATAAATTGTTTTGACCAAATATGGCTCACAAGGATTGACTTGACCTCCTCTACTACAAAACGTACCTTCCAGCACTGCCAATAAAATCTGCATACATGCGCCATTGCTTAGGATCATCGTCAAATAGACTACCAAAACGTCCACCTGAAAAAGAAAAAAAAAACTCTTGTTACTAAAGAGGATCTTAGATAACACCACGAACGTGGATTAGTCTTTCCCATACCAATAAGAAGGCGGCCAAGAGCTCCAATACCATCCTTGGACACCCATCTGAAGTAGAAACAAACAATAAGAAGCAAAAGAAAACAACCAGAGATTTGCATTGGGGTAAAAAAAAAAAAAAGGAAAACCTGATGGCGGCAGCAGAAGCAGCAGCAGTAGCGGCAGGAGAAGTTCCAGAGAAAGAGCCAACGCCAACTGCCTTCATAAGAAATGTTTTTGTAAAAAAAGAAGGTTTGCAACATAGTCAGCACCCATCTCTAGAAGTAAAAACAAGAGGTTAAGGAGTGTACGGAGACATGCCTTGAGAAGACTAGAGGTGACTAAGACATTGCACATCCAGCCGGTAACATTAGTAGGGAACTGCCAGAGCATGTAGTCCAAGTAATCATCTGAAACTGACCCTGCGTTCGCCACACCATTACGAGAGATTAATTAAACTCACTGAAACATTAGGGTCTACAACCACAAAAGTAAAAATAAAAAAGGGAAGTGTACCAGGAAAGCCGGTGGGAAAAACAAAATCCTTGACAACATCAGGAAGCCAAAGCGTATTACTCGTTTCTGAGGAATGAGACTTGTTGTCAGGCTTGGGCTCACGCTCCTCTAGAAAGCCTTGTAAAGGCGAGTCGTCATCATCATTTAGCAAATATCTACACACATAAAGAAACAAGTCACTCGGTGTAGAATTTTTAAACTAATGAAATCTTCGGAAAATAATCAGTATGGAGCGGACCTCTTCGAAGTTCCATTTCCGTATCTCTCAACCACAATCGAAACTACTCCTTCAACTCTACAGAACAATACCATCAATCATCATCAGCCCGCCGTTAAATGACAAGACCAAACCAATCAATTTCTATAATCAAAAAATAATGTTCACCTCTTCTTATCATCTGACTGAGCACAGCACCGCAAGTGCTCCACACGCCGTCGTTTCGGCTTACAGGACGACGTTGTTCGAGTTCGGGGAATGTGATGAGGTAACGGCAACCGTAAAGTACAGTTCATCACTGACGACGACAAAAGATTATTTGATTCAGAGGTTCGTTACACCTCCTCCACTCTCTTCATCTTCTCCCTCTTACAGCCGCACCCCCAAAATAGATAAGACCCAATTCCGCAAGTGTTTTCGAATTCCCATCAATCCGGTTTTTATTTGGTTATTTGCTAAACCGAATATTTTTACGTAAGCAATTCCGTCAACAGAGACTTTCGAATCCCCATCAAACCGGTTTTTATTTGGTTAACCGAAAACGTACATGGACATTTATTACCATACAATACAATACAATACATGAACTTTACTCTCTGCGCGGGCTTCATGATTCAGTTCAAAAAACATCCAATCAATACACACAATCAAAAGGATTACAGGTGAAAGAAAGAGCTTCAGGTTTCTCCATCAGTTGTATTCGGATTAGGAGGAGATGCTGCTTTCTTGCGATTATCATCCGCTATTTTTTGCAACTCCTTCTCACTCGCTGCTATGAGTTTCTTTACGATATCGAATGTTGTAAGCTTTATACTGAAAACAACATGGAAAGAAAAAAGATGAGAAACCTGGCTTCTTCACAAATCTCTCTCTCTATATATAAGAAAACTCTACCTGCTGTTTGGCATGCTTTTCAGGGCATTGGGTACAAACCCACGGTACAATCCAATCACTCCTTCACGCTCAATGATACCTACACATCATTGGACTTGTCAGCCACTCGAATGTAGAAACTGGCCAAGAAAGGATGTATTAAAAACCAGATATGGAGTACCTGAGAAGGCGTCTAATACTGATTTATATGGAGTACCCTTCATTTGCATCTGTCTTCTAATGGTATCCAACGGATAGCATGTACTAGCAATAGCAGCAGCCACCACTGCTGTTAACAAAGATGACTGTGTCTTCTCTTGATACTTCTCTGGCAAAGCCTTCTTTACCCTGCATGTACCCTGATAATATGTAAACACACCCTCGACTGAAACATTTTCAGGTCTAACGTTTAACTGCTAGTAGACTTACAAATCAAAGACGCAGAAGTTGATGGCTATGTATGGAGCTATACTTAGAAGCGATGGACCCAGACCGTTGTAAAATGATGCTATTCCTTCCTCCCTTAGCATGTTCAACGCAGCCTACATGTCACAATGTTGCGCCGCTTTAATAATTTGAAGAATTTATGGAGCTTTAGAGTTGGTCTATGATCCAATGTACATACCTGGGACATGGTTCGGTACCCCGGTTCAACAGCTAACCTCAATCTAAGCACATCTAAAGGATATGTAATCTGCATTATAAGTAAACAGATTCTTAAAAAAGGTATATAATAAGATTTTCCGTGAGACTAGATGAACTCACTGAGGCCACTAAACAACATTAGTTACCAGAGTCGAGGTCATGCCAGCACAAGCACCAGCCCCAACTCTTCCAAGAACAGACAATTGACCGTCTTCTCCCCTAAAGAGTTTCTGAATTAAAAACATTATTGTGATTAGACTGGTTCTGAAGCTTGCGAAATCAAAAGCAGAATCATATGTGACAAAGTTCACATACCTTGTATGTTTCATATGCAAACAACTGGACCGCGCTATAAGGCACGACCCTTATCACCTGGAACATTCAAAAGACTAAGATTTTGAGCAATCAAAATCCCACTAAATTACACACATCCTTTTAGTTTTATGTAAAGAGATTGTGAGTACCTGAGGTAGGTTTCCTTTCCAATAACTTTTAATACCTTCTTCTCTACCAATAAGCATAATCGCCTGTAGTTATATATTCCAAAATTACAAAACAAAATCAACAACGAGTTTACAGTGAGAAGAAACAAGCTTCTACATTACATGATTTTGGAGGATATTATGTACCTCTATGAAACCCATAGCCTTCTTAGCACTTTGTTGCCCAGCTCGAACACCATGTGTCTATAATAATTATTAAATAAGACGTCTGTCAATTAGATTGTGAGAATCAATAAATATTACAGTATGTCTGTAACAAGAACACAGTCACACTAGTTAAGAAAAAAGAAAAGAGAAAGAACATAACCAATTAACCACCCTAAACCCATACACAAAGTTTCCCATGTCTTTGTGACATGAGAGATAATGAAATTCACAGCATGATCAAGATCATCTCATGGAAAGATCAAAGCAAGTTGTGTAGACCATATCTACAACATTATGTAGTGTACATATGTATGACAGAGTCTAGTTTCTAGTCTAAGTATGAGGTATATGCATGTATACACTCATGTAGAATTTAAACTAGTCCAAAACGACGACGTACTATTATGCCTAACTGTCACACCACTATACTAACATTTTTCTTAATTATTAAAAAAAAAGAAAAAATAAAGGAAAAAGGAAAACACTTGGGACAAAACCTTGAAGTTGTTGAGAGCGAGAGAGCCTACCTGCATAAGGAGCTTTATACGGTCAAATGGTGCCGTCACTGACTTTGCGACGGCTCCGGCGAACGCTCCGGCGAAGAACAGAGCTGCGTCTTTGGGTACAAATGACAAAAGAGCGACGGGGTTTTTCAATAGCTGAGCAGGAGTAGGAGCGAATGAATCCTCTTCCTTAGGAATCACCACCGTAACGGACGCGAATGCTCCACCAGATTCCCTACGATCTCTCCTAATCGCCAGCGATACGGATGCGAAATTGTTCAAAACGCCGCCGCTTCTTTTGTTCCCTCTCGAAGGCACGTTGTTGTCCAGCCTCCATGAAGGTTCACCGGTAAGAGCGAAATCAGAGGTCTTGAGAGAAGGGTTACTACGGAACTGAAGTAGAGATTTCTCTTCTCCCATGGCGGTTTATTAGTGTCTGATTCTTTTTTTTTTATTTTTTTGTTCACTCACGCCTGAGAATTTTAATTGCACAAACTGGGTGTCAAATGTATAAATTGTCTTCGGTAGTGGCATTCTTGTAATAATAGCCAAGTAATTAATGGGCTCCACGAGGGAAACAAGTCAAAATAGTGGCCTCAATTGGGCCAGACTTCAAGCATCTCGTTAAGATTTCCAAAGTGAATATACTAACTTCATCTGATAAGAGATGGACATGGGTGGGTGGTACACAGGTAGGGCTGGACAAATAAACCGAATCCGATCCGGTAAAAATGAATTTGAATCGATCTAAACCCAATATAAATATCGAATGTATTTTGTTTTATGATATTTCAGGTTATGTGTATTATTCGAACCAAACTCGAACCAAAATATATATCTGATAGAATCCGAAACATTCAAAATTTCAAAAAAAGAACTTGTACCAAACATGATTTCAATTCCTAACATATATCCAAGATACTTTAAGTTATTATTAAACATCTGAAATAAATATTATTTACATGAAAGTTGATAGTTGTAGATGACGGTTGAAGTTTAATGTTTTTAGATTTTGGCTTTATTTTCGGTGAATAACGTTTCTCATTTGATGAGAACTTGATTTTGGTTTTATGTTTTCATTTATTCAGTTTTTATTATCAGTAACTATGATTATCTTCGTTTGATTTTGAAGGATCACGTTTGATGTTTTTTTTTATGTTTGAATCAATTTCTCTTATGTTTTGGTTATAAAATAGGTATAAATCAGGTATTTTAAATTTGAAAAAATCGATTTTATTTATATTTTGGTTATAAAGTAAATATAAATCAGGTATTTTAAAACCAAAGAACCGAAAGTATAATCAGTTATACCGGTTTTTTGAAAACCCGAACCAAATTTTCGTATAACGCGAATGAGACTGATTTTGATAAATCCGAAAAACTAAAATCCGAATAGACTAAACCGAAATCCGATTGAGAGCCCGAACGCCCGGACCTATACACATGTAACTTCAACGACAGGTAGAAACCTGACCAGACCAGCCTGTCCGAACCCGACCTTAGTTTAGATTTAATTAGAGGATATTTATTAGATTTTTTTTTTAATTTTTTTTAAGGAGAGGAAAAGAATTTGTCAATCTACCGTTCAACGTGACGATGAAGAAAGAGAAGGGAAGCCGACCCATCGTTCAAATCTCTGGGTCCTTAAGATCAACCCCCACAAACCTGCTCTTAGGGGTTTTTAACTTGTTCAAATCTTCTTTTCTTCTTTTCCCAGATGTCGCTCCCTGATTCTTCTTCTTCCTCTGACCCGCCTGTGACCCGCGAAGAGACCGGTTATATCCGGTTTGAACACGCCCAAGATAACGGTTTTGACCATCGTGACCGACCTCCATGGAACCGCTCCGAGTACGATTACCGCCATGGGAGCGTCGTTGCGTCGGAGAACCCGAGGAATACCTCTAATTCCGAAGATCCTTGGTCTTGCGTTGTCGTCGTCGCTACCTTCTGTGTCTTCGGTGATTATTTATTTTTAACAATTAACTTATGCTGTGTGTGTCTGTGTGAATGTCTTTTGATTGTTTGTTTATCTTTTTTACCCTCAGTCTCGATGACTTTGATTCTGGGGCTTTACGGAACTACCAACGTATGGTTGGGACCAAACTCCTCCTTCCTCATTAAGCCTACTTCGGTTTTTGTCCAAACTGTTATTGTACGTTCTCTACCCTCTCTTCTTACAATTAGGAGGATCCACCATTTTCTGAATATCCTGTTGTTTCTACCTTTTTCTCAAGGTGGAAGAATTAGGGAATAAGGGATCCGGTTTGATGCTGTACGGTTTGAACCAGCCCCCACAACTCCATGTTCTGGCCAATTGGTCTGAAGTCCACTATTTAGCTGTTCCAAATGATTCTTACAAGGTTTCTTTCTCTCTCCCTTTTTATCTTTCTCATCTATGGAACTGGTGTCTGATGCCAATTTTTATTTTTGCTGTGTTATATTCAGTATTGGATACAGTATCTGAACAAGGGGTCACGCGTTAAAGTTTCTTACAATGTTGAATCTTTGGGCTCTTCCCTCTATCTTGTCATAGCGCAAGGTACTTTACTTTACCTTAGGAGAGAATCCTCTTTTTATTTTGTTTTCTCTTATGCTAACTACCTCATTAACTATCTGCTACTTACCTAAATATACTAGATTGATGATGTTTTGGGATTCATTGAGAGAAATTCTCAAAACAACATGATGTGTTGACTACTGAATTTAGTTATTTTATGCTTTTATAATTGAAGGTGTGGATGGTCTCTCCGAGTGGGTGCAAGACCCTACGCGTCCAGACACTACATTATCATGGCATCTTATCTCTGGTTAGTCACTGACCGAGGTTTTAACATGATAGATTTACTTTAATTCTGAGTATTCCTCACTAACACTTTACCTTTTTTTATATTTGGCAGATAGTGGTTTTATTGAGCAGGACATAACTAAGTCTTCGACTTATTACATTGCAGTAGGCAATGTATACCTGAATGAAGTAAAGGTAATAATATATGCTTCAACTTTGATTTGTAGGTTAACTTCTCTCCTATACGATGTGATTGGCTAGTTTACTGCGAACAGTTTTTATTCCCAAGTAGCTTTCTGTCTTTCTTTTTGTTTTGTCTCTGATTATGCATATCACTCTCACACCATATCAACGTTTTTCAGGCTACGATCGACATTCAAGTTGAGGGGTTATTGTATGATACTACCAATGCTTATTACAATTGCGCGTTTCCTAACGACAAGTGCACTTTAAGTATTCCATTATTTGGAACTAATGCTGCTGTTCTAACCTCACCAGGTCCAAAGCTGGTAGGCGACCCATAACTTCTCTTGTCTTGCTATTTTCATTCTTCCGTTTAGAAGATATCACATGATGAGCCATTCTGAATACAATACTCTCTTGCTGTTGTTGTTGTTCAGAACAATTCTAAGAATGAGTTCCTTGCAAAGCTCTCGTACGAGCCAAGGTGGATTGCGTACATAGTTTGCATGGGTAATTTATTACATGAGTCGTATAAACGGATCTTGTCGTTGGGCTTTATCATAAACTTTTGTTTTGTTTTTGTTTCCTTGGATTGTTATTATTATTGCAGGTGTGGTGACAGCACTCTTGTTAATTTTATCTAGTGTCTTCAATAAAAGACAAGAAGCAGACCCTGAAAACGAAACAGGTGACGAGAATGATGATGTAGCTCCTCTAATTCCGGGAAAAGACGATGATAACTCGAGCTGGTGCTCATCGTACAGTTCTATCTTGACAAGTACTGAGGAACTGGAAGGTGCACACGGAGATGGCCAGAGTAGTACAAGATATCTGTGTGCGATTTGCTTTGATGCGCCTAGAGACTGTTTCTTCCTCTCTTGTGGACACTGCGTTGCTTGCTTCCAGTGCGGGACACGGTAAATAAATTTATTCGTTTCTTCGATGTTCTTGTTTGGTTACAAATCTGATGGGTGGTTGGTCTTATGTGGCTGATGATGATGTTTTATGAAAAATGCAGGATAGCTGAAACTTCAGGATTCTGCCCGGTATGTCGTAGGAAGATCAGGAAGGTAAAGAAGATCTTCAACGTCTAACAAAATCAAAGTCCAGGGAATCTAATAACACACAGTACGCAGGTTGTGTGATGTTTATTTTGGATGTTGTTGTTTTTGTCGCAATGCCGTATTTGTATAGAAGTAAAGCCGAAAAAAAGTGTGTGGAAAGGGCATAGAGAAAGTACCTGATGGTTGGTTTAATTTGGTCTGTGTATATGTATCGACTCTGGCATTTCGGTTTGGTTGTACTACTTGTAACCATATTTCAATGGACTCCGGTTAAGTGCTTGGTTTGCGCGTCGCAGCGTAATGTCGTAATTATTAGTCGGTTCTTATAATTATTATTCTAATCAAACCAAACACCAAAATAACTGCGCGAAACCGAACCAAATTTTGTAAACAGTTACTCTATATACATCTAGAGACGATACCGAGAAACGAAAACTCAAAGAATCGGACCGGAATAAACCGAACTCCCAGAATTTGATTAGTTATAAAAATATACAGAAGAGTGCGACGTGTCATATGATGAATGGCGAGGACACATAATCTCATTGTTCTATTTCATTATATTTTCGTCCTGAATTTTGCTATCAGGTAACAAACAATCAAATCGCGACCTCTTTCTTCATCTTCTCTCTGCTCCGTTCCGTTCTCCGCTTCCTAATTCGTCTCCAGCTCCCAGGTTTCATTCTCTCTATAGCTTCTGCTAATGATCTTTTATTACTGACTTCAAATCCGCCTCATGTGTTAATGAATTTTTCTAGATCGTCTTCGAGGAGCCTGCTCTGCTTGCGTGCTAGATTTTCTCCGTCTTTCGAATCTAGATCTGTAAGCTACAACCCATCCTCATCTTCATCATTGAGATTTATATGTAGTTTCTGCCTTTTCCGTTCACAATTCTTCCTGATTAGATCGTTTCTAGTATCGTTTGAGTCTCTTCACTCTATTGTTTGGGTATACATTATTTTCGATCAAGCTATGTTAGGGTTACACGTTTGATTCCGTTGTTAGCATCTCTAATCCATACAATGTTTCCAAATATTGAATTTTTTTTCCCAAAACTGATTCCAAAGTTTTTTGGATCTGTATGGGCTCTGTTTGTACATCACAGTCATGATGAAGTCATTTGTATACACTAATTGTTGGAAGTATACCTGAATCACAACTTATTTTCACATTGTGGCAGTGAGAGAGAGAGAGAGAGGTAGAAGCAGCTGATTCCTGGAACCAGCCATGATGTCCTTCGAAATGAATGACCGCAAAAGTATGTCTACATTCTCTGATTTCTATGCTTGTTACTTGGTGTCATTGAATGTTACCTTGTTACTGGTAGAGAACCCATTTATTTTTCAGTTTCTCTTATTAACAGGGTCATTTCCACTTGTCTTTTACTGTTGTTAATTGTTTGCTATATATGTGCTTTGTAACAGAAATTGGGTTAGGGCTGACAGCATTTGGCGTCTTTTTCTCCTTTTTGGGAGTTGTCTTTGTCTTTGATAAGGGATTACTTGCCATGGGTAATGTAAGTACCTCCACCTATGTATCCATCTGATTATTCTTGCTTGTTTATTGATCACTTGGTTTCTTTTCTGCTCTTCTTCCAGATTCTTTTCATCTCTGGGGTTAGTCTAACCATTGGCCTCAAGTCTACCATGCAGTTTTTCACCAAGCGTTCAAACTATAAGGTCCGTTTTTAATTCTATTTTTCTCTCTTAATATCTCTGGGTCAGTAAGATGGGGGTGTTTACATACTTGTTTCCACTCAGGGAACAATATCTTTTGGGGCCGGCTTCTTCTTTGTAGTCATTGGATGGCCTATCCTTGGAATGATGTTGGAGACCTATGGCTTTTTTGTACTCTTCAGGTCTCCTTCTCTTTTTCCTTCTCCTTTCTTTCTATCTTACTCGTATTTGTCATGTCGAACCATAGACAGATAGTGACTGTGTTTTATGTTTCAGTGGCTTCTGGCCAACCTTGGCAGTTTTCGCACAAAAGATACCCGTTCTCGGTTGGATCATTCAGCAACCATATATAAGATCGGTATGTGTCCAATTCAAAATCAAAACTTATTCGGAATTGTCTCAACAAGTCTGAACGTGAAAGACAAACTTTTGTGGGCAAATACCTCACATGAGACTCTTCGACCTCAAGGATAAAGCATGCTGTTACTCTCTATGTTATCAATAGGATAAACATTGCGTACATATGAGCTTCTCTTGCGTTGTGAGGATGATGCATAAATCTCGTCCCAATTCATATATAAATTCCCAGTTTCACCTTCACGAATTTCAGTGGATAATTATCTCTTTGTTTCTGCTGATCTTAAGTTTCTAGCCCTAGTTTTTTTCTTAGTAGTCCATCAACTTCGACTGATCATTGACCAATGTGGTTGATTGGCTCTTTTTTTGGTTTATGTGATGTAGTTCTTTGACAAGTACCGGGGAAAGCGAGTGCCCGTCTAGTCCCTGCCCAATTGGAGAGAGAGTTCAGTAAAGCTAGGTGCAGCAGAAGAAAGGATTGAAACATTTTGTAAGGAGAATGCTTGTCCGTCAACTTTGGTAGAAAACTAAACCCGTAGTAGGAAGAAAGTAGCGTGGAGCAAAACATACGACTTGAAGCTTTGTACTTTTATAAAGACTAAATCAGTGACTTTTATGGTGGATTGTAATCGTTTTGGTTCAAAGAAATTTAATTTTTTGATTGCATACATATAACAAAATTGGCCACCACACTGATATCTGAGGCTCAGCTCTCTTGGAAGTGCGGATTGCGAGTATTTGGGACAGTTGCATTAATCCTCTTGCGTGAAACCTGAAATGTTAATGAGTGGTTAATATGCAAAATCGCAGTGCACCTTAGCTTAGCTATCACTTGTTTTGCCCCGAAAAAAAAAAGAAGCTTGTAATCTTTTTAGCCGTTATGAAGAAATTGATTAATCATCATCACTCTGTCTTCTTTCTCATCATCCACTTTTTTGTTCAAGCGGATCATGTTGCATCTGGGATTTGAGGAACGGTGTCCTCCTGGAGGAGAGGAATCAGTTGTTTTCTACACAACGTCTCTTAGGGGGATCAGGAAAACCTTCGACGACTGCAACATGATCCGCTTTCTTCTCGATAGCTTTAAGGTTAAGTATTATGAGAGGGATGTGTCTATGCACAAACAGTACAGAGAAGAGCTTAGCAGCATTTCAGCTACTGAGGAAGAAACAGAGGCTTGGTTCGTTAAGGGTAGGTGTATCGGCGGAGCTCAACGTGTATTGGGTCTGCACGAGCAAGGCAAGTTCAGGGCTTTGTTTGAGGGTGTTCCAGGATTCAGTGCTTGTTATGTAACGAGAATGGCTTGATTGTGTGCGTCGACTGCTCCTAACTAACACTAGTTTGTGTGTGTTATATATGCAATGCAATATTTGATTAGGTTCTTTTTATTGATTTGATTGATTCTTTTTAAGTGATTGTTTACACAGAAGATGATTGTCGCTATTACTGTAGTTACTCATTTGCGTTGTTTCTACATGAATCTTAAGTTAGCATACCGTTGCTTTATTACCCCATTCGAATTCAATTATGGGAAGGAACGTCATTTTCTGAAAATACAAGTAATAGTATGTTCTTGTACTCTATGTAATCATCATAATGGCAGTCAAGTAGTCAAAAGACCAAGTTAGAACTGTTGGGCCGCCGAGCCGACTGAGTTGAAATATCTACTGATTTCAAACGTGAGGCGGGCCTTCCTTTTCATCCTCAGCCGCCTATTTATTTATTTTTATCATCATAATCTGCTATTTTCAGGTATTTTATTTTAAATAGTATTCAGAAAATAATTTGTAAAATAAATGAATATCTATCATAGTCCCCAAATTGCACAATAACGACTGGCTAGCGATATTACAAAGAAAAAGATGTTTTCCATAAATTTCAAGATAAATAAAATTTAAAGATATTACAAAGAAAAAGATGTTTTCCATAAATTTCAAAAGCATGCAATTCATTTTCTGCCAACTTCTTGTTTTGTACTTGTCTTTTAGGCAACAATTAATGAGGACTAGAGCGACAGTCGTGGATTCGACGAGGTCCAGTTACATTTCTTGGTGTCAGAAGATTTTTCCCATTAATAAATACGTATCTACTAAAACGGAAAAAATATCATTTATAATTAATATTTTAAAACATAATTTAAAAAAGGTATACTCTTTGAAGCTATAAACGATGATTAAATTATGCTTAGAACTCTTTAAGATGTGTTTGATTGCGTTACATATTCGATGATTACCAATGCATTTGTGTATAAACCCACTTAACATGTGTGTTAACCTGAAAATCCAAATTGCGTGCGTTAAATCTAGGCCGTCAGATGGGAGGCAGTCCTACTAATCCCATCGTAAATGCATTATAGTGGAATTTCTAATAATAATAATGAAATAAAAGGAAAAATAAAGCGTTAATTACACACCGCCACAGACTCTCACTATAAAGCCGAAATGGAAGATAGGCGAGGATGGGCCAGAAATCGATTCACCAATCTTCTTCCCACAAAACTTATCATTTCCTCTCTCTCTCTCTGATTATATTCCGATAATGGAAGGAACAAGCGTCGTGGCGGTTTACGGTAACGGTGCGATAACGGAGGCGAAGAAATCTCCCTTCTCCGTTAAGGTCGGTTTGGCTCAGATGCTCCGCGGCGGCGTTATCATGGACGTCGTCAACGCCGACCAGGCTCGCATCGCGGAGGAGGCAGGTGCTTGCGCCGTCATGGCCTTGGAGCGTGTCCCCGCCGATATTCGCGCTCAGGGAGGCGTTGCTCGGATGAGCGATCCTCAGATGATTAAGGAGATCAAGCAGGCCGTTACGATTCCGGTGATGGCGAAGGCCAGAATTGGTCATTTCGTGGAGGCGCAGATCCTCGAGGCGATCGGAATCGATTACATCGACGAGAGCGAGGTTCTGACTCTCGCCGACGAGGATCACCACATCAATAAGCATAACTTCCGGATCCCTTTCGTCTGCGGTTGCAGGAACCTAGGGGAGGCTCTGAGGAGGATCCGCGAGGGCGCGGCGATGATTAGGACGAAAGGTGAGGCGGGGACTGGGAACATCGTGGAGGCAGTTAGGCATGTGAGGTCTGTTATGGGTGACATTAGGGTTTTGAGGAACATGGATGACGACGAGGTCTTCACTTTCGCTAAGAAGCTTGCTGCTCCTTACGATCTCGTGATGCAGACCAAGCAGCTTGGTCGTCTTCCCGTCGTTCAGTTCGCGGCTGGTGGAGTCGCTACTCCGGCGGATGCAGCGCTCATGATGCAGCTTGGATGCGACGGTGTCTTCGTGGGTTCTGGTATCTTCAAGAGCGGTGACCCGGCTCGTAGGGCGAGGGCGATAGTGCAGGCAGTAACTCATTACAGTGACCCGGAGATGCTTGTGGAGGTGAGCTGTGGGCTGGGGGAAGCCATGGTTGGGATAAATCTCAACGATGAAAAGGTTGAGAGGTTCGCTAACCGCTCCGAGTGAAACCAAACAAAAGGTTAAATTTCGGACAGAAATGGTTTCAGACCAAATTTGGAGTGATCTTTTAATAAAAAACAAGATGATATTTGATAGTTTTGTTGTATTATCCTTTTGTGTGTGTTTGCCTTTATATTTCTTTTGGTAGTGATTGTAATCGATTTCTTCCATTTTCAAGAACAAGTTGTCAGTTAAGAATAATAATTTACTACTACTCTCTCTTTTATTTGTTACTTTTAATGATGAGATGTTCTTCAGTCCAATGATAATTGAGCTTATGGGGGAACCTGTGTTCAGCTTATGGAAGTTTTGCCATCAGGTGTGTTAGACATTCAGGGCACCATTTTTGTATCAGGTTATTTACAGAAAGATTGAAACTTGTTTGATTTTTTATTTATTTTGTGGAATTAAAATCTTCCTCATACTGAGCTGTCTCAAACAAGTGTTTGTGGATTAGGTTCGCATGGATGGCCTCTTAAGTTCTTATATCATTGTGTGGTCTCAGTCATGTTAGGAAAGATAATATGTAATATGCTCGACAACATGCAAGAGAGATGGAACTTATAGGAGTTGGGAGTAATGAGATTGTTTTTTTTTCCGGTTTTATACGTTGTAGAGAGTAAGAATAGAGAGAATCATCGTTTTCAATGCTTATGGTTTTTTGCAGGCATATTTTGCATTCTGAATCAGGTTTTGAGAAATGCTATGTTAGTGTTGTTAGAAGAAAAGGAGAGAAAGATAAAGCCATGGGACTCTTCTAGATTCCAACTATAGGATTTCAGATCTCACGCGGATTATGTATATATTACTGTCTATCAGGAATCATGGAGTTAGTTTAGACTGTTTATCTGTGCATTTCGTCCGGAACAACTCCAATAGGACCAAAAAACACGGGTAAAAAAGATTATGCTCTTTTAGTCATTCCAAATGGGATAATTCTTTGGCCCATTCTTATTTCCTAAACGGCCTTTTGGCTAATTGTTTGACCCATTCTCATTTCATCTCAATCACTTCATTCATCGTTACTTCGTTAGAGCCTTTCATCTCAATCACGACCAGGCCCGGTCCTGATTTAAAGCACAGCAAGCCACAACTGTAGGCATCTCGTTAGTCATTAAGAATGAAGAAGAAGATTGAGTGCAACTTTTTGAACCGGACCTGGACACAGCGACCTCTAAATTTGAGAAAGCAAAAGAATGAAGAAGAAAATTGAGTGCAACTTTTTTCGACGGAACTTACATGTATTGTCTTTGTAGATCGAAACTAGAAAAATATGTTTGTAGTGTTTTCTTGAATTAAAGACTAATAAAACATTAAAAAAGTTAGCAACGATTTGAGATTGCTACAGTTTTTGTACATGAATGCTAAACAGACTCGGCTCTTATCTGTTTCTTTTTTGTTGTATTGTTGGTAAAGGTTTTTGGGGTTGTGAAATATCTCACACACTGTGTTTTCCTTAGTATTGATTGACCGAGGTTTCTCAAGACATACCTGCTCTTTAGGACAGGATATTTGGGAGGTATAATTATTTCTGAAATTTCATGATTAGTTTTTTTTTTTTTTTGTAATTTAGAGGGTTATATATACGTATGAAAAAAACTAGTAAAATTTAGGGATCAAATTAAGCTAATGTTATATTGGATTGTGCTCAATCCAATCCTATTTTTCTGTGTCATTAATTTTGATCGTGTTTCTACGTTATATTCAGAATTAGCTGAAAGGAGTATTAGTCCAAATTATTCAGAATTTTAAACTAGAACATGAGCTAATAAAAATAGAAAAAAATGTCAAAGTTGTAAGAAGTCAAATTGATTAATCATAGCAACGAAATATGAGGTTGTTATTTCAAATCGTTGCATTTTTTTCTCACCTTCAGTTTCTGACCATCTTTCTCCTAATTATTTGTTATATAAAGATCTGTATCGACCCTCACGTGGAGATGTTAAAAGAGAATAATTGTTGTTTTTTTGTCAACGAAGAAGTTTATAATCATGCTTCTCTATATCGTTTTTCTGGCAAAAATTATATTATGATGAGTTCTCTATCAGATTCAGGTCTGATCCTGAAATTTTCCACAAATTTTATGGATCTAAAAACTTTTTTAAGAGCATTTGTCTATATAACTTTTTTTTATAAAATCTAGGGATCTGTTATCAACATTCCATTTAGCATGGCACATACTGCTCAGACCATGTAGAAAACTCGTAATAAAAAGATTAACAGAAGAATAACTTTTTGATAAAAAAAAAGATTAACAGAAGAAAAACAGTGAAAATAAGAGTCATTAAAAACTAATTACATTATACGAATCATAGAGTAATTAATGACAATAACATTAGTTTCGCCACCTGAATTCAGTTCTCATCAGAACTAGTTATGCATATTATTTGAGTTTCAAGTAAAGAAGTTAAATTTCTGTACACTAAAAAATCATAGAGTAATAATAAAACTATACGAATGCTTGGTTATGAGGTACGATATCAGTAGGTTAGCATTAGAAGAAGATTTTATAAAATAAAAGAACATGCGAAGAAGAAAAATCTATTAAAAAAAAAAAAGCAAAAGGCAGAGAGGAGAGTCAGATGAAGATCTAAAGACGGAACTCCACGTGATCAAGTATGGTGGAATGTAACACACAATACACCGCGTAGCCGATTAGTTATTCCATATCAGTAAACCAATTGATTATTCATACTTTGATGTTATTTCGCAGTTTCTTAATTTCTCATTATAAACTATAATCTCAGCCGACAGTATCACAAAGTAGACAACGTGTGAATCCACGTGGAATGACAGGTGGGAGAGAAGTCTAGTGTTGCATTTCATGCAAAAGATTTGCTTTACTTTCAACACGGTAAAGTGGAGACCACTTCGCTGACTATCTTATTATAAGTACTTATTTAATTACCTTCTTTTTACTACAAACCCCACATATGTCTTGTAACACAAAATAAATACTTTAGAGAGCTTAACATTACATGCTTCATTCACTGTTATATATATATATCTCTTTGTCCCGTTACTACTTCTATCATTTTGTATTATATGCAACCACGCGGCTTTAAAATGTACTACCATACTCTTGGGAATCTGACAGTTGTATAATTCATACAGAAATGCACACTGGATCCAGAAAATGAAGCAGCAATGTACATATACAGCTTGCTTTCTTACCCGTACACATATCATTTCTTTGTTTTGTACATAAAAGATTTTTTTGTTATCAGATCAATTACAATATATAGATTAAACTTGTTATCTAAATTACTCTTATATCCTGTCATCTCCTTCTCATTCTTTTTGTTGGTGTTAATTAGCTACGTACTTTAAATCATACTGAGAGGAATGTTAGGTGTCTATTGTCTACTAACTTGATATATATATATAAGAACACGAAAATCGTGACAAAAAAAAAAAGAACACGAAAAACCGTACGCAGTCTCTCCCTCTAACGAGTAATGACACTGTTTTCTTTTCCGGTATATATAGAAGGAATACCACGAGAATTGTGGACAAGAAGAAATCTAGTTGGTCAATTAACGACCATAAAAGCCAAAAATAATTACTTATTTTGAGGGAAGAAAAAAAACAAAATCAGGTGTGACTCGTAAGCGTGACGAAATACTAACGCAATATTATAGGGGGACGAAATTTATTTACTGGTAAAAGAACATGATCACCAGTTGAGTTGCCGGCCTCAATATATGAACGAAAGATATGAAGCAAAAAAAAACACATCTACACTCCCAAAAATAAGAGAACAGTGTAGCATGTTTTATTGAGTTAGCTGCTCTAGTTAAACAGCCTTTATTATACTCTAATCTAACCACGGAATGTGTCCTTTTCGTAGTTTATTCAACTACATAATTAAAATTTCTTGTGTGTATATGATGATTTTAAAAATATATCATATATTAGATATAAATTAGGGGAAAAAACAAAAATATATTTCGATAGTCCCTTGACGGTTTCACACCTTCTTTTCACACCACCTTATAAAATTATTTAAAAACTCTCCTTTTCTGATAATTCCTCTCTATCTTCTCCTCTTTTTCAAAGAAACCTCTCTTCATTTATAAGGAACCAAGAAAAAAAAAACTCATTCTCTTTACGTCACAAAGGCTTTGATCCCAATATGGACCCTTTCCATCATCATGAACAGCAACTTTATCACTTGATCCAACAGCAACACACCCCTCTACCGCCGCAGAGCACGACGGCTGCGATGGATTCCGGTGGCGGAGGAGGTGAGAGAATCCCACAGTGGAGCATAGAGGAAACAAAGGAGTTTTTGGGGATAAGAGAAGAGCTTGATCAGACTTTCATGGAGACCAAACGTAATAAGCTACTTTGGGAAGTCGTCGCCGCTAAAATGGCCGACAAGGGTTTTGCCCGAAGCGCAGAACAGTGTAAGAGCAAGTGGAAGAACCTCGTCACTAGATACAAGGTTACCTTCTATATATTTATATATATATATATATATATATATGTTGTTCTATGATCATGATTACAAGAATATGCATCATTAAGTACAAACCACAATATATCATTCTAAAATCTTTATTTATGTCTAATTATTATATCATCTGTGGTAAGCTTGACTAGTATGCATATTGGAAACCTAGTCTATGGTGTATTACCTACATACTTCAATTAATGAGTTTTACCTAATTAATGTCTTAGGTTGTTTAGAATATAGTATTACTATGCCATTATTATTAACAAGCTAGAGATTAGAATTTCAACGCGTTCATTGGTGAATTTCATGATACGGCACATGTTAACATTTTGATCGTTATGCAGTAATATCTATTTTTTCTTCTTGTTATACTAATATTTCACATCGTAAATTGTAAGTAAGTAATATCTCGTGTTCACAAAATGCCACAAAAAAAAAATCAACTACCGTTATATAACGGATGCATAACATCTAAGTATTAATAAGAAACGTTTAACTAATCACATGATAGTTGAATACGGTTGCATATGTATATATATACGTCATATAACTACAAGGCAACAAAAGCAATATGATAGATGAACATGTTTATACGAGATTACTCATTCAAAATAGATGAACCTATATTTTGTTGTGTATGTACTACATATATATATATATAACACATGTTGTTGAACACATATGGGACAGGCGTGTGAAACGACTGAACCAGAAGCTATTAGACAGCAGTTCCCATTCTACAACGAGATACAAACGATTTTCACAGCAAGAATGCAAAGAAAATTGTGGTCAGAGCCCACAGAAGCAAGCACTTCTTCGAAGAGAAAACATCATCAGTTTTCATCTGACGAAGAAGAGGAAGAAGAAGAAGTTCATGAGGAGCCAAATCAAGACATCAACGAGGAATTATTGTCTTTCGTCGAGACAGACAAGAAAGAGGCAGAAGTGATTACTACAACTCATCCAAGAAAACGTGTGAAAAAAGGAAAAGGTATTACAGGTGGTACCAGAGCTGAGACTGCGGACAGTACACTGAAAGAAATGTTGGAGGAGTTTATGAAGCAAACGGTGAGGATGGAGAAAGAATGGAGAGATGCGTGGGAGGTGAAGGAGAGAGAGAGGGAGAAGAGAGAGAACGAGTGGCGGAGGAGAATGGCTGAGCTAGAAGAGGAGAGAGCTGCCGCGGAGAGGAGGTGGATGGAGAGAGAGGATGAGAGACGTCTGAGAGAAGAAGCTAGGGCTCTCAAGAGAGATACACTCATTGATGCTTTGCTTAATAAGCTTAACAGAGATCACAATGATCATGATCAGTATCAAGGCTTTTAATTGTTTCTGTTTAATTTAAGTATGGGTTCAGTTAGCTAGTTACTTAAAATCTCATGTAAGTCATATCTAATTAATGTTATGTTTCATTTCTATGAATAATTGAATGATAAAAACAACAAATCAAAGTATATAATATTATAGGGCTGCTTCTTTTTCTACTTGGAAACTCAACCAGACTCGGTCGGACTTGGGGTTTGATCCTCAGAAAAAAGAAATAAAAAAAAGTTGTGGTTTGCTCTCGAAGAATGCTTTAAAACAGTAATTCCGATGCATCTTTTGTTACTTTAGCTACTTTATTCTGCTAATAAGAATGTTCCATAATTTTTAATCAGTCGATAAACATTAAACAAAAGTCCTTGTTATAAAATTTGTGAACTCACTTTTGTCACACATTTCTTCGCGCGTTATTTGTGTTCATATATTATTAAATTTTTGTATTATTATTTTCTTCTCTTGCAAACGGACAGCTAGGCAAACAGATCGCTACGCAGTTAAAAACTTGAAACCGTGTCATATGGCGTTCACACTATCGTAAATTGTAATATATTTATTTTAAGATATCATATCAAACAAGGCTCATCCACCAGGATGAATCTTCATGTATCACTCTTGCATTTTTAAAGAAATTGGTCGACTAAATCAGATATTTTTAATTCTAAGTTTAAACAGAAAAATCACAAAAGAATACAAAAATATGTCAAAGAAGTAACGTTAAAAGGAGACCACAATATGCATGTGAAATAGACATAAAAGATAGAGTACGTATTTTCAAAGCTACGTACGGGGCTCTGAATATTTCAGAGAAGAGAAAACTGGTTTGACAGTTTATGGAGAAGAGTTATCCAAATATATATACTTAACTTCCGTCAAATGAGAACATAAAAAAGTCTTGCCATGTCAAATTTGAGGAGGAATGAATGCACATGAGAAGCTTTAATTTGACTGTTCCCTGAAGTGTTTAATAATCGCGGACGAAATGAGAATTATCTTCGATATATTCGTACATCTGTGTTGAAAGCTGGATTCGTACGAACCTAAAAACAGTCTCAGAAACACATCGGTTTGTCATATGATAAACATCAAACTTGACTAGTATAGCCTTAAAGCTCACACACAAGTTTTGAAAGCAAAATCATCACAGCAATGGGGATGTAGCTCAGATGGTAGAGCGCTCGCTTAGCATGCGAGAGGTACGGGGATCGATACCCCGCATCTCCAATTTTTTTTCGAAAAACTTTATTTCTGTCTTCATTTAAATGAACTTAAACAAGATCAATGACCAAAATCACGTCCCAACATTTCCCACTATATGCGTTATTAATTGCCAAAGTTGAAGCGTAATGATTTGTGCTTGCCTTTAATTATCATCAAATCTAAAAATAACTAAAAGGAGCTATTGTTGGTTTTACAAGCAACAGTGCAACACCAACTATTTCTGGTGTATGTTTATTTGGTTTTCATATGCCATTGGCAAAATTGAATATATGATTTCTCCGTTTAATTTGATGTCGAAGGCCAAGATAACAATTCATCAACTATTTGTTCCCCACTTTAAACGACTTTTTTGAAAAATGATTATTGATTGTCGATTTCATTAACCCTCCTAATAGAAGTAACATTCGTTTATGTAACTTCCAAGTGTGTCCAGGTGTCATGTACGTCACTCTATGTTTATTTCCACAAAGATGTATGTTCTATTTCTATATAATGTTTAAGCTTGAAACCAAAGTTCTAGGCATACAAGAAGTTAAGCAACACCTATTTTGATGGATTTACATACGCTCTCCAGCTGAAAAGATTAATGGCTTAGTAATAACTAATATACTAGATTATTGGATATATATTTGTAGTCAACAGCAGCAATTTTTTCTTATTTCATTATCCAACATGAGCCTACACTTATGAAAGTACACAAAAAAACTTGACTTGAGTACATACAAATAAATGGAGGACGTCTTAAGGTTTTGGCCCAAAAAAAATTTGATGTAGTGAATGACAATGTGAATCTCACGTTTACAGATCTTAATCAGTAGACAAAAACCAATCATATCAACCTTAACCTCCCTAACCACAGCTTTATTATAATGGGAAAAGATGGAAGCAACACATCCAAACATGCCTTTAGCTTCACTTCTACTCAATCAATAATTTCCCAAATAAAAACCAAACATTCCTTAAAACACCTTTCTCTCTAATTTCCACACCCGACAGATTCTCCTACCGGGTTCGCCACTATGAGCTTCTTGATTCTTAACAGAGGAGCAGTGAGTGGAACCAAGATTCCTCTCTCCATCATCGTTCTTGTTCTATGTGGTTTTATGTTCTTTGTTCTCTTATACACCGAAAGAATTAGCTTGATGTCTTCTTCCTCCTCTTCAAACCTCCTCAGGATGAAGTCTTGTGCGAGGAAAGACATTAGCTCGAAACCTAGTAAGAGGATACCTGAATCTCAAAACTCTGTTTTTTTTTTATTCTCTTCTCTTGTGACGCAAGTAATCTCAACTAGTTTTTCTTGTTGGTCAGAAGAGAAAGTTCGAGAGAAGAGACCAGAAAATATGGATGTTCTAGACGACAGGTTCGAATTTGATCCAGAAGAGTGTAACGTTGCAGCTGGGAAATGGGTTTACAATAGCTCAGCGGAGCCACTCTACACCGATGAATCATGTCCATACATTGACCGTCAATTCTCGTGTATGAAAAACGGAAGACCAGAAACTGATTATCTTCGGTGGGAATGGCAGCCTGATGACTGTACCATCCCTCGGTAACTATATCTATATATACTCAAAAGCCTGTTAACTCTAGTTAATTATGGTTTTTTAAGTCAGAATCTCTAATTAACTTCTTTTGTGTTAAAACAGATTTAATCCCAAGTTAGCAATGAAAAAACTCAGAGGAAAAAGACTACTTTTCGTGGGAGATTCGTTGCAAAGAAGTCAATGGGAGTCGTTCGTGTGTTTGGTGGAATCAATAATACCCGAAGGAGAAAAATCAATGGAGCGTAGCAGAAAATACTTTGTCTTCAGAGCAAAGGTAACTTGCCCAAACCTATGTTATACTATTAGGTAAGGTATCACTGTACCTTGCGTTGCAAGCGAAGCTTACTTACATTTTGCTCCTCTTTTTAGGAATACAATGCGAGTATAGAGTTCTACTGGGCACCTTTTATTGTCGAATCCAACACGGATTTGCCTGTGATATTGGATATGAAGAAGAGGATAGTAAAAGTTGATTCAGTGGAAGATCGATCCAAGTATTGGGAAGGAGCTGATATTATGGTTTTCAACACATATGTTTGGTGGATGAGTGGACTCAGAATGAAAGCTTTGTGGGGTTCCTTTGGAAACGGAGAGAGTGGTGCGGAGGCTTTAGACACACCAGTGGCCTACAGGTTAGGGCTCAAGACATGGGCTAATTGGGTTGACTCTACCGTTGACTCTAACAAGACCAAAGTCTTCTTCACTACCATGTCTCCTACTCATACTAGGTAAAAAAACACAACTAGTTTTTTTATGTTTATGTGTTTGGATTCTTTTTTTTTCTTCTAAATATCAGTAGTTAAAATATCACAAAACGCTGGTTAGTATAAATTATATACGTAATGCAAATGCATGAATATCACAAATGATGGTTAGTATAAAAGAATTGTATAGTGGTTTTCATAATATACATGCAAAGAACGATCATAACACATATAAAACAATCAAGGCAAGCCACTATTGTGTGTGTGTGTGCCTAAAGTAATGTTGTGTAAAACGTGCGCAGAAGTGCGGATTGGGGGAAGCCAAATGGGACGAAGTGTTACAACGAGACAGAGCCAGTAAAAGATAAGAGGTTTTGGGGAACTGGGTCCAACAAGCAGATGATGAAAGTGGTGGCAAGCGTGGTGAAGCACATGGCCACGCACGTGACAGTCATTAACATAACGCAGCTGTCGGAGTACCGCATCGACGCCCACACATCGGTCTACACGGAGACAGGGGGAAAGGTGCTAACGGCTGAGCAGAGGGCTGATCCAATGCGTAACGCTGATTGCATACATTGGTGCCTCCCTGGATTGCCCGATACGTGGAATCGGATCCTATTGGCTCATTTGTAAAATCAATAAAAAGCTAGGAAACATGCATGCATGTACTAAGGATGAAACGGGAAAAACCTCAAGTCCTCCTCTCTCACTCTTGTGTTGTCATCAGCTTTTGTTTTTTTTTGAATATAACGTGATTGTAAACGTGGTAAACGTAAACAAGAGGTGGAGAAAACTGAAAAAAAGGTAGCAAAAATCTGTTAATGCAAGAAAATAGTTAATTTCTATCTTGAATGAATGGCATCATCCCAAAACCATCAAATTAAAAGAGGGCAAAGATGTATTGGGCCCATATATGAAGCGATGGGCCAGGAAAGAAGAAGGGGAATGTAATTGCTATTGGTAATATAGACCGTTAGATTAAATTAGAGATAGATGTGACCGTCGGATGGTAGCCCTAAAGGGAACAAACAAGTCATCGCCGTCAGGAGGAGGTTGTCAAGAGTTATATAAACAAGGCAAATGACAAATCTGGAACTTGTAAAATTAGGAAGACGTAACCCACTAATTTCGTTTGGTCTCGAAAGTTCCAAATCTTCCGTCGTCTGCACCAGGTGGGGGTTATATTACAACCTAAATTTTGTTGAGCTTCTGTCTCCGATTGCTCTCGGTTGGATTGATTTTTTGGTTTTAGGGTTTGTAATTGTCCATAAATTGTGGTTGATTTGGGGGGGTAATTGTTTGGATCTGGTGTGATAGGAAAGTGAGATAATGGCGGGAGGAGGAAACTTTATTGGAAGAGTGATTTCATACGTTGCAAACGAGCTTATTGTTAATGGTTTGTCTAACAGGTAGCCCCTACTTTCCTTTCTGGTGGTATTCTTCTAGATTCATTTTTGGGATGTTTAAATTCAATAAAAAGCTTCGTTCTCTGGCTGATTGGGATTCTTATAAGTTCCTCATCTGCTCGTTCATATTGAAGCTATATAGCCTCTCAACTTACACGCTGGTCTGCTGCGTCACATACATACGCTGCAGCGTAGGAAGATTGAAATATTTTTTAATGTGCTTTTGGAATTGTTTTACATATAGTCTTAAGATGCTGATTCATCTTTTGAGTTCTATGCCGGTGATTATTTTGTCCTGATCATAAACATGGGCATTTCAATCTTACCCGTTTTATGATTTGTTTGTTTGATCTGATCCTTCGGGGGACAGGACAGACTCTCTTTGTTGGTCGATCTTCACAAGATTGGTTGTGTATCTGGCTTGTTAACAAGGTTTTGTGAATTTCTTGTAGCCATGCTTTCCAGAGATTTGCTGTGAGGACTTCCAAAAGAATAGAGAACATCTCTAAAATGGGTTTTGTCTTTAAACTCTAGCCCTGTGTTTTATATATTTAGTCTTTAGTGTTGCACAATATGTGTTAACTTTTGGAATTTGCTTTTTACAGCTGCAGAGAGCAAGGAGAAAGTCGCTCAGCATATGGAAGAACTTTCCAAGAACTCTGACGTGAGTTTTTTTTTTTTTTTTAATCTTTCATCCTCACTTTGGGTTTTTGAGGCGCACCATTTAAAACTAGGTCTCTGTTATTTACTTTTCAGACTTTCAAGAAGCCGTGATTACCTGGGTCAAAGCTCAAAAAATAGTGAGGGGGAGGTCTGTGATGTCTATATATGTCTAAAAGAATGCTTGAATGTAATAAGCTTGTGTGTTAAACACAACCACTCATCTTTTGAGCTTTTTTCTCTTTAAAAAAAAAAACTCAGTCGACCAGAGTGACTATGGCTTGTGAAATTTTTTGTGAAGTCTTTTGCTTCGTATTCTCTACTCATTCGAAGAGCTCTCAGTTGCTTAGTTTCTTTATGTTTTGTAATGGTTAAGCATTAAACGTGTAATTATGGTCTCGATTTAAAGGGAATCCTCAACTTTGTGCGTGGTTGTTAAAGAGATATGCATGTCATCACCGTAGTACAAAATGGAGAGTGGTCCAAATGAAATAGATTCATTTAAGATAAAGATGATTTGTTTAAAGTCGATGAAAGTAATTAACTGAAAGTTAAAAGATGGAACAAACTTTGTGAAGAGATTTTTTAATTGAAACAGAGTAGTGTAAACTATTGCCAAAAGAGGCGAGAGAGTGGGGTCTTTTTGAACATATGGTGGAGGAAAAGATGTGACGCAAGATGAGCCGTGCGTTGAAGCTTCCTTCTTTGCTAATACTTTTTCCATAATTTTGGTTACGTACAGTATTAAACAAACAAATTAATGTTGTTTTCTAAACACCCATAAATTACTCTATTGTGAGAATATTAATGAGAAGACAGGTAGAGAGAGCGTCATTTCCTCTCATGCGTATAATACACATTTGTATAAATTGCAACAAGATTCGTTTTGTTAGGTTTCCGAGAAAAGATTTTGCTAATTGTCTCAGTTAAACTACAAAATAAAATAAAATAAAATAAAATAAAGAGAGGAGTCTGTAACGAGCGATAGCAGACGGGAGGAGAGGTTGGCGAATGAAGTAATAGAGATAAGCATATAACCCTCTCTCTCTCTTTGCTTCCACAAGAGAGGACTTTTGAATTCTTCTCTGCAGAGGATCTAGAGATGGCGTCGGCGGCGGCTAAGACGGAAACCAAACAGAGCCAGGCGTCGATTCCGCCGTACATGAAGGCGATCTCGGGTTCACTAGGCGGAGTGGTCGAGGCTTGCTGTCTCCAGCCCATCGACGTCATCAAGACGCGTCTCCAGCTAGATCGCAGCGGCGCATACAAAGGAATCGCTCACTGCGGCTCCACGGTGGTTCGCACGGAAGGCGTCCGAGCTCTCTGGAAAGGGTTGACGCCGTTCGCGACTCACCTGACGCTGAAATACACGCTTCGGATGGGATCCAACGCAATGTTCCAGACGGTGTTCAAGGATAAGGAGACGGGGAAGGTGAGCAACCATGGCCGTTTGCTTTCCGGATTTGGCGCCGGTGTTCTCGAAGCCTTAGCCATTGTTACACCCTTTGAGGTAACTTTAACTTCCTTCAACTCCGTTGCCTTTTCGCGTACTTTACGGCTCAAAGCTTTGACCAAACCAATCACATGGCTTCTTCTCCAATTATTGTCGGTTTAGTTAGTATATTCGGGAATTAATATTAAATAATAAGAATTAGTTGGGAAAATTACTTGATTATTATTCACTGCCATCAAAAATAATACATTAGCAAAAAAGAGATTTAATGAAATTTCTAGATTGGTTCAGATCTTTTTTTTGATTTTGGTATATGCTATCATTGCTACTTAGATGTGCAATGTACTTCTTATCATTCTTGCTAAACCTGAGATTCCATCAACATTAAGTAGAGAAGCATTTTGAGTCTTTGACTACTGGTTTCATGCTCAAATAATTATTCATTGTAGTAGGTGTAAAATATATTCTATTGCTTGTTTCTGTTCATATCTGAGTAGAAAGTATGCCTCTTTTTCTTTTTCTTGTGTGGTTCTAGAAATGTGGCTCTGACCATGCCCCTGTATTCAAGAGTTTTCATTTTCACTCACTCAAGAAAAAAAATACTCTCTCTCTGCTTGATTTCCAGGTAGTGAAGATTAGACTTCAGCAACAGAAAGGATTAAGTCCCGAGCTTTTCAAGTACAAAGGTCCCATCCACTGTGCTCGTACCATCGTCCGGGAAGAATCCATTTTGGGCCTATGGTCTGGTGCTGCCCCCACCGTTATGCGTAACGGCACCAACCAAGCTGTCATGTTCACTGCCAAAAACTCCTTTGACGTCCTTCTCTGGAACAAACACGAAGGCGACGGTAAAGCCTTGCACCCCTGGCAATCCATGATCTCTGGCTTCTTAGCTGGAACCGCTGGTCCCTTCTGCACCGGACCCTTTGATGTTGTCAAGACCAGGTTGATGGCTCAGACAAAAGATGGTGAAGGTGGGCTGAAATATAAAGGGATGGTGCATGCAATCAGGACGATTTATGCAGAGGAAGGATTGGTGGCGCTATGGAGAGGATTGTTGCCGAGGCTGATGAGGATTCCTCCGGGACAAGCCATTATGTGGGCTGTTGCTGATCAGGTCACTGGTCTCTATGAGAAAAGATATCTCCTTAACGCACCTTTATAGAGAGAGAGTGAGAGTGAGAGTGAGAGTGAGACATTTGTTTTTTTCTTTTCAAGTCAGGGTTTCTTGTTGGTTTATTTCTGTGAGGAATGGGAAATCCAAATTCTATTCTCCCTAAGGCACTTTTGATAATAACGAAACACACATTTTTTCTTACCTCCGATCATAAAAGTTGAAATCTCCACATCATAAAAACGAGAGGGTATATATGACAATGGCCCCTATTAATCTATGCTGGTTATCTTTGATCTATGAAAAACTTTGGTTGTGTTTTTCATCTCTAAAAGTTACTTGTTTTGGTCCTTTTCATTTGTGTATCTGTGCTGCTTGTGTGTGTGTGTTTTTTTTTTCTTTTGGGTTTGTATCGTTAAGACTTTGGTCTAATATTTGTTCTCTCTCTTGGTTTGGATGAGACTAGTAGAATAGTGTAAGACTTCATAACTAATCCATTGAAAGTAGAACAACAAAATCCATGCACAACAAGTTTCAAAGAACAGAGACGTTGAAAGCAGAATAATACCCACCCACCCCTAGTTCATTCAGAGAACATATATTATTTTTTTTTGAAAATTTTAGTTTTTCATTAATTTTTTAATTATATTTTTCTCTAATATCAATTTATTTTAATATAATTTGGAAGCTATATTAAATATGTCAAGTTACATACATATATACTTGTGTCATATACATTTCAATAATTATTTTAAAATTTTATTTCTAAAATTTACAGTATATTATATTTCTTATTAGTTATCTAATTATATAGTTAAAATAACAGAATATTACATTTTCTTATTAGTTATTTTTCTTTTTTTAATTCAGCATGAGTACTTTTATGACCAAACAAGCATTTATAATTATTGACAAAAAACAAACTTACACAGTTATGTAATCACTTTAAAGAAACTTACATAGTTATGTAATCACTTTAAAGGAAAATAAAAGTTAATCTGTTAATATATATATATATATATATATATATATATATCCACTTTATATGTGTTCATTTGTTTTATTTTTTTTCATATATAAATGTCATTAAATATTTTGTAGTCGAAAAGCTTATAACTTTAGTTTAATGTTTGTCATTTTCCTAAGAAACCTGGATAACGATGTTCTAAGAAAGAAAAATAGAGTATTATTATTAATCAAAAGCATGTAGTAATCGAGTGGGGTCAGGTTTCTTCTTCAATAAAACGATTATATGATGATCGATCAATGCTAGTTTTACAGTCTCGTCTCTTCTTGACTGGAGGTAACAACATCACTCTGGCCTGCGTGTGTATGCAGAGACCTTTATATATGATTTGTCACGTCACTCTCAGCGTCCAGCAGCACGAAGGTCCATTCGAATGCGGTCTGCGTACATTGGGAGACGTATAATCTCTCTTATTTCCTGAAGCAACACTTCCTCTGTTATGTTGTCGTTTATGCTTTTTATCACCTAAATATTTTCACACCCAATAACGAGAGAAAAAACACAAAGTCAGTATTTTTATTTTATTTTCTTTTCTTTCTGCTGGAACAAGATAGTAGAATCTGCTTGGCTGACCTTACGAGCGGTGTTGATATCGTTCGGTGTAGTTTTGTCGAATCTGATACGCATGCTAACCCATACTTTCTTCTCCTTATCCCATGAACACTCTACTATCTTCCCATTGTAACTTGACGGATCCGAACCATCTCTAAACTCAACCGTATATCCGTCCATAAGCTTTTTCTTCCCTCTTTCAAACAAGAAGAGCATCCTGCGACCGTCCTCTTCCTCACCCATCTCGAACAGAAAGTCTACTGAGTTCATTTCCGCATACTTCCACTTTAATAGACCTTTATGCGTTCGTGGAACGTATGGATCGTCCCACCCCTGTTTTTATTATCAGTCCCACAATAATATTATGTCTGCGTTCATGAAAAATTCAAACCTTAAAATAGAAGCATCTCAAATATGGTTTTACCTGAAATATAAGGCCATCTGCTTCATGCGAAAGAGACGGGATGGTACCCTTCAAAAGCTTCTCAACAGTGGAGAGTAAATAAAAACCTTTCATCCGTACCTAAGTGTAACAACAAAAGTAGTTACCAGCGAATTTTATACAAAGGAAAAAGCAAATAGTGACAGGAAAGGTGGAGACTCACACCAAAAGGCTCCAGGTCGTATCTGTAGCAATGATTCCTTTGCTTATCAACCTCTCGGCCTTTGATCACCTCGTGCACCACCATGTTCCATCTTTCACAGAATGTCCGCTGGGTTCATTTTCAAAAAGTTGACTGTAAGTTATCTTAAAAAAACAGACAGTGGTTGATATTGAAAAACAACCTCAACAGAGTAATATGACGGATTCAATCAAAACCCAAAGATGGATGTAACTGAATTAATGACAGTTCCAACCTCAACGACTGATTCACCGTTGATTGCTACCAAGTCATATACGAGGTACCTCCTTCTAGCCTGCCCTTTTTCATTCATCGGATTATCTATAACCATTTCTCCATCAAGCAAAGTGAAATGGTGTACTTGATCAGACATTCCCTACCACCACAGAAAATAACAACAAGGTATAAGTGTTATATATTCAGACAATAATAAGCAATGACAAAAAAAAATTACTCACTCCACTAGAGTGCCTACAGGGGAAACGCATCTGTACTCTTCGAAACTTAAAGCTCCTATCTATCAGATAGCAACCATCTATGGTTAAGAGCATCATATATCGTGTTCCATCTGCTTTCCATGTCGCATAATAGTACCGCTGCCTCAAAAGTTGTAAACTCTCCCTGTGCAAAATAAGTATATGCAATTAAAAAAAAACTGTAAGATTCAACTACATTGAGAGACAAGGACTAATGAATTGAGAACATTCGGCTTGCTAAATCCCATAGTATCCCAAGAGTCTTACCTGTCTAAGGAGACAGGGTGTGAACCTGGGAATTGAGCACATCCTCTTCCCTGTATCACAGCAAGAATTTAATCCAGGACAAAAAAAAAACAAAATTAGGCGAAATGCAATATTCCATAAGAACACATAGCCTAAAAATAACAGATAAATACTTGAATTCCTACCCCAATACTCATCATAAGCATCTTATAACAGAACTTTCGGTAAGCTTCCTCTTGATAATGGGGTATTTCATCCCCCAAAACGTCATCATTTGACATCGTCACAGTCTCTTGATTGATTTCCTAAAACCACAAAAAAGGCTAAATCAGCAACAAAAACATTAGACTGCATGCGGTATATTAATTCTAATGGAAATTTCTGTGACTAGGTTTTAAAATAAAGAGCTTAATATATAATAAGCAATTGTTTGTACCGCACTTACTTGAACAGGGATAGGCTGAGCATCATCCTCATCATCACCATCATCTTGAAGAACTGCTTCACCGTTAAGGTCAAGGTCGGTAGACCTCTTCCATTCAGGAGTTGGTGGGCAAGTAGCAGTCTCAGGCTTTATTTCGTGATAAAAGGTGTATAAAGCATCAATATAATCGGGTTTATAAATCCCAGGTGGCCGGGCATCAGAAAACATTTTCAACGCCTGCCACAAAGGCCACACAGAAGTAAGATTCTCCTTTCTAGATAAAAGATTCTACAAAACACGTATGCACAAGTACAAATGTGATTAAAAAAGAAACTGAACCTGGGTAACGTTCATGGTGGGGATAGAGCGCATAAGATAATGAACAATCATGAAGCCAGTCCGATTATGACCATGAGTACAGTGGACAAGGATATACTTCTTAGGGTGTTTTTGATTAACGACGAACTGAATAGCCTGAGGATAGTAGAGTATCCTTGAATGAGCTACAAACACAGTAGATAAGGTTTGATTGAAATAGATGAAACAAAGTACCTCGTTGACGAAGGAGTTAACAGAGACATTATCTGGCACAGCATCACGACCCCTGCATGCAATCTATAAAAAAGATTAAAGCAATCCGGTAAAGGAGACTATACAAACATAATTAGAAACTCATGAATTTTGCAGTTCACCTTAACATGCTTGATGCCATCCTTCTTTAAGTCTAATGTGGAATAGTAACGAGTTGTATTAGTAAGATCAATCACTAGACCAAGCTGGCATAAGAAAAAACGAAGAGAGTAAAGTTTAGGTCACAGAGGTTAGAGAGAGTTGGACATAGCATAGAAAGAAGAAATGAGAAGACATACTTTGCGTCCATTGATTCTCTGGTTGCGGATAACCTGTTTAAAAGAGTAACGTTTGCCAGGAGGAACGTGTTCGTTGTAAGATTCGCTAAGGGGAACCTTAGAAGGAATGATGCATCCTCCTACCTCCAGACCAAAACCAGGACAATCTAGCCAACCTGAAAGAAGAACATAGTACAGAATAAGAAACCACTGAAGGTAAAAAGAGAACAATAAAAATGTATGGAGAAAGCAGCAGGAGAATAATACCTTGAGGGATTTTGCTTTTATCATAGACTCTGGTATCACCGTTGTTGTTATTGTTGTTGTGGTTGTGATGATACTGGTGATGAGAGTTTCGGGAAGGCCTGTCAAGTCTCATCCTTTTGGTTCTTTCTTCACGCTCCTAATTATTAAACAAATATAGCAAAAACACTATAAATATGATATCATCCAAAAGCAGCAAAGCAGAGAAGCAATGAAAGGTACCCGTCTAGCGATTTCAACAGCAGATTCAACTCGGTTTTCAAGGCGTCTCTTAATAAAAGGATCCTCGTCTTCCTCGGGCTGGGGTGAAGCATTCAGGTCCATCGCAGCAGTAGAAGCAGAGACCAATTCAAATCCCAAATTGGTTTATCTGCAAAGCGTAAATAGAATCAGTAAAAACACCCAAAATCCATCAAAGGTTACGGAGATCCTTTCGGTTTCTATTGAAGAAGGTGAACGAACCAGACAGATCTCTTTTAACCGAATCAAACCAAATATCAAAGACGGCGTTTTCTGGAAAAACTGAAATCAAAACCCTACCGGCGATACAGATAGTCGTCGTCGTCGTCGATTCAAGGAAAGAGAGAGAGAGACAAGAGCAATCAATCAACACTCGCATTAATATATACGTAAGGGTAAAACCGGTATGTAAACTTGGTAATAACAAGCACCGTGGTCTACCCATTAATATTATGCGAAATAAATAAATAAAATATCATATTTGGACGGCTGATATACGATACTGGATGATGCATCTAGCGCCACGTGTTAAGAAGGTTAAGGTTTTTTCGTAATTTTGGTGTCAAATTAATCCAACGCCTTCTCTTGCCTATAAATATGATCTGAACCTTATTTCTGCTCGCGTTGAAAAAAACATTTGTGGGGAGCATCAGGAAAAAAACCCCTCTTTAGCAAAAGAGAGAGAGAAATCACAGAGGCAGTAGCGAGAGAGAAAGAGATAATTCTTTAGATCTGCGCCAGTTTTTTTTTCTCACGCATTCTCCAGAATTTGCTGCGAATTTTGTTGTTGAGAAATCCGTATCGATGAATCGGTTAGGTCATAAATCGGTGGTGTATCACGGAGAGTTGCGTTTGGGGGAACTTGATGTGATGCAACTCTCTTCCTCATCATCCACCAACAATGAATTTCGGTTCCCAAACGATGAGATTCGAATACACCACGTTTCTCCCGCAGGCGAGAGATGTCCTCCCCTCGCCATTCTCCAGACCATTGCCTCTTTCTCCGTTCGTTGCAAGCTTGAGTCCTCCGCTCCAATTAAACCTCCCGAGTTGATGCGTCTTCACGCTATCTGTTTCCACGAATTGAAGGTACCTTTTTTTCTAACCTTTTGATTGATTACATATGACTGATTCAGTAACAATCGAATTTGATTTTGCGACTTACAGACTGCGGTGGTTTTGCTCGGAGATACGGAGATTCATTTAGTGGCGATGCCAAGCAAGGAGAAGAAGTTCCCTTGTTTCTGGTGTTTCTCACTCCCTTTAGGTCTTTACGATTCCTGTTTAAGAATGCTTAACACTCGCTGCCTCTCCATTGTCTTCGATCTCGATGAGACTCTCATTGTTGCCAACACCATGAAGTCCTTTGAGGATCGAATTGAAGCTCTTAAAGCTTGGATCTTGCGAGAGGTTGATCCTGTCAGGATTCATGGGATGTCCGCTGAGCTTAAGCGTTATATGGATGACAGGACGCTGCTCAAGCAGTATATTGATAATGACTATGCTTTTGATAACGGAGTTTTTCTCAAGGCTCAACGTGAGGAGGTTCGCCCTACCTCTGAGGGCCTCGAGAAAGTTTATAGACCTGTCATTAGATTGCCTGAAAAGAACACCGTGCTTACTCGAATCAATCCAGAGGTTAGAACGAGATCTATTTGTGCTGCCCTTACCTTTGTCTGGCAGTTGATAGGAATAAGGTCGTTTAAGTATACATGAGTAATCTAGTTTTGCTTAATCTAGTTTTTGTCTCATGTATGGGGTTATTTCTGTTGCAGATCCGTGATACTAGTGTGCTTGTAAAACTTAGACCAGCGTGGGAGGAGTTAAGAAGCTATTTGACAGCAAACACTAGGAAGCGTTTTGAAGTTTATGTTTGTACCATGGCTGAAAGGGATTATGCTTTGGAAATGTGGAGATTACTTGATCCGGAAGCACACCTCATTAGTCTCAAGGAGCTTCGAGATCGTATTGTATGCGTTAAATCAGGTCAAACCCCTTCTTTCATACCCGTCACTTTGGTTTTAGTACTTTGGTGTGCCATGCTGCCATTGGTGTAGCTTTCTTACTTTATCTCCTTCGTTACTGTGTTTTGGCCTGAATTTTTAGTTTCTGCTTTGCCTCTTCTCTCTCCCTCTCTGGTGCCTGATTTGATTTGCTTACCTCTCAGTTCTCTGTTTTAAGGGATGAACCTTTTGATCTTAACCAAATATATTTTCACTTTTTGTTTCTTGCTCTTTGCATAGCAGATGCCAAGAAATCATTGTTAAATGTCTTTAAAGGTGGCATATGCCACCCTAAAATGGCAATGGTTATTGATGATCGTGTTAAAGTTTGGGAGGACAAGGATCAACCACGGGTTCATGTTGTTCCTGCATATCTTCCGTATTATGCTCCACAGGCAGAGGCATGTTGTTGCTCTTGCATTCTTAATCTGCGAATAAAATACTGTATCCTTCATTTTTCATGTGGGTATCTTACCAATTTCTTCTGCCCAATTTATCAGACAGCTCTCCCCGTTCCAATTCTTTGCGTAGCAAGAAATGTTGCATGCAATGTCAGAGGTTACTTTTTCAAGTAAGTTTTGTGTTTTTTTGTTTAAAGTAATGTATTCATGCTGGTTTTTCTCATTGTTTCGGACATTTGTGCCAGGGAATTTGATGAGAGTTTAATGAGTAGTATATCTTTGGTTTACCATGAAGATGATGTGGAAAATTTACCTCCTTCACCGGATGTGAGCAATTATGTCACTATAGAGGTAAGTTTAGTTAGAACTTTATCCCTGTAGAATGTACTGCACAGAAATTTGGCCCAATCCAGCTACATTTGTCTCCAGGATCCTGGCGTTGCCTCAAATGGAAACATAACTGCTCCTCCCGTTATCGAAGGAATGTGTGGGGGTGAAGTGGAACGCAGACTAAACCAAGCGGTCAGTAAAATAGATACAAAATTTGAGATTTTTGTCAGTTATATTCTGATTTTCTGTTGACTTTTCGATTTCTGGGGATGAGAAGTCTGCAGCTGATTCTTCTACTACTGCAACAAGTAACGCTGAGCAGAAACCTGAAAACCCCAAGCCGCAGATAGCAGTTATACCAAATAACGCTAGCACAACAACTGCAGCAGCATTGTTACCATCTCATAGTAAGAACTTTTAACTTAATAACTCCGGTTTTGAACTTGGAACAGTTCATTGTTTTTTTTTTTTTTGCATGTTAATGTTTTTTGCGTCTGACGGTATGTATCTTTGGTGTTCAATCAAAATCTAGAACCTAGTTTGCTTGGAGCTCCTAGACGAGATGGTTTCACTTTTTCTGATGGTGGAAGACCCCTTATGATGAGGCCTGGTGTTGATATAAGGAACCAGAACTTCAATCAACCACCTCTTCTGGCTAGAATTCCTATGCAGCTACCTTCATCTTCTATGCATCCTCAGGGTGGTTGGTTGGTAGACGACGAGAACAGAGCTCCTTTTCCTGGTCGAGCTGCAGGAAGTTATTCAAATCAGTTTCCTCATGGTGTACAAGGTTCTGCTCCTGTCACACACCCATCACACTTGAGGAGCGAGGAGGTAGGTTTAGTATTCTATGTATTTATCTTTTTCGACATAAAAACTATATTGTCTACGGTCTGAGAGTTTTCTTTGCAGGTATGTGTGGATGATGACCTCAAAAGGCAAAATGCTTCACGTCAAACGACAGGTATGGTCCAGTTTCAAAACTGATGTAATTAACCTGCAATAAACTTGGATAGTCGGAACACTGAGTTTCTTCTTTCCTCCGTTAAGCTTGTTTTCAGTGTGTACCTCGTCATCAGCTACACTATAGACTGGCTTAGATAGGATGATCACTGCTTTCCCATCTGATATATGCTCTTCTTGCTGAAGCTTTATGTTAATATAACTGAGAGGAATCTGTCACAAGGAAAGAAGTGCATCAATGCCATTAACATAGCATTTGTTCAAACTATTTGCAGAAGGTGGAATACCCCAGAATCATTTGGTGTCAAATGGTGGAGAACAACACCATGCAGATAGCGGAAAGAGTAATGGTGGACAATCTCACTTATTCGTGAGTGCACTGCAGGAAATTGGAAGAAGATGCGGTTCAAAGGTACATATTTTCATAACCACCCGAGCTATATTGCTTATTCTCTTTCCGTCCAATCTGAGGAATTGGTTGATATACGATTTTTTCAGGTGGAGTTTAGGACTGTAATGAGTACCAACAGAGAGTTACAGTTTTCTGTTGAGGTCAGCTGGACACCTTTCGTTCTTTCTTAGTTTGTTATGTTAGTTTGGGAAGTCCCTTTGTCTAATGCTAACCTATTACTCTCTCTCTCTCTCTTTTTTTCTAATAAAATATTGTTGCTTGCTGGTTAATGATGCATAGGTTTTGTTTACGGGTGAGAAGATAGGAATTGGGATGGCAAAAACCAAAAAGGATGCACATCAACAAGCGGCTGAGAATGCTCTTCGGAGTTTGGCTGGTAAAAATTTCCATCGGGGGATTTGTCGTCCTTTTTGAACTGTGGATCCGTTAACCATTTGATCAAGTCCATAGATTGTTCTTTTAAGTCGATCTGGTTTGTGTTACTTTTCTGCAGAAAAATATGTTGCTTATGTCTCTCCTATTACTGGAGAAACAGAGAGAGGTTCCAAAAGTGAAAATGGGTTTTTGTGGGAAAACAATGAAGCTGTAGGGAACGAAGGAGTTGAAGAAGAAGCCACCTGAAGAAAACATTTCTGAGTTGAGTTTTCTCAGAAATGCGAAATTTAGGTGATGGTCTTGATTATGTGGGGGAAGAAGAAGACGTAAGGTGAATATTCCTTAACCAAATGGAATGAGCTATAGATCAGTGGCGTCTTTCTTCTTTTTAATTATGAAAACAGTCCCAGATAAGGGTGTTATATCATGTTAGATATTATCATATCCCCATAGTAGTAGCATCTGTCTTGGCATAAACTATTATGTATAGTGATTATATGATGAGTCTTTTTTATTGATGTTGAACTAATTAGTTTTTAAGAGCAATGTGTGCAAAAGGAACCGCTCTAATGATAAATAAGTAATTAGGTAAGATTGTGCCTATCGATATTTACAAACATATAAAACTTTAGAGACGATAAAGGTGCTCCTAAACGCACGGCGTCGGTAATTACCAAAGCCTTCGTAAGGATCACCAAAAAAGTTGATTGTGTATGTTCGTTCGATCATGAAACAAGTTCTGAAAAAAGTTGTCTGTCATATTATATATATAGATACCGCGTGGTTCTGGTTCTCGAGAGATATCTTCAAGCAGAGGACCTCCTCCAGGAAGTGGGCGCTGCTTCAACTGTGGACTTGATGGACACTGGGCTAGAGATTGCATTGCTGGTGACTGGAAGAACAAATGTTATCGATGTGGGGATAGAGGTCACATTGAGAGGAACTGCAAGAACAGTCCCAAGAAGCTCAAGTACGTACCATTGCACCCTGACCTTTACTCGCGTTATGATGCTCTCTAGACAGATTCTCTTGTGTGTCTGTAAACAGATTCTTATGTGTCTGATTGTAGATAAAAACTTTTGTTGATACTTTTGTTGAATCAAGCACCAGAAAACTTTTATTAAGGGAATGTAATGTTTATTTTGACTTCTGATATGCTACTGCAAGTTGCTTGAAGTTTAAAATTAACCAGCGTTTGCCATTGATGATAAAAGTACCCTCGTGAATGATTTTGCATTTTGCCATTGATGATAAAAGTACCCTCGTGAATGATTTTGCATTATTATTGCACTAATACAGGGATCCATTTGAATTGACCATTATTGGGATCGAGATAGACCACAATAATGGTTATATTTTCATGGAAATGCCTTTAAAACCAGGATGGATCTTTTTCAGGTCAGCGTATCTCATCTCTCTTTTCTTAGCTGCTTCGTTCGATGCAGCTTTGACTAGTCGTCTCCTTGCTATTATTATTCCCTGGAAAATTGATTGGCAAGGTATTATTAACCAACTAATTGTTGTACAACAAAGAGAGGTGACTTAGGCGTGGTGGAGCTTACTTGGCGTGGGAACCCACGATATACAATAATATCAACAGCTAGCTTCCTGGTTGCTAAGATGCTCCCGAAGCCCATCTGAAGCAAGACTAATCATGAACTCGTCTTCTGCTTCAAGCCGTGGCTGATGGTGAAAATGTTCTGCTACTCTCTGTATTTGGGCAGCAACGGCTCCCTCTTGAACTTCTGCTACTCTCTGCATCACCTATTATTGATTTTGTAACCTGATTAACATTTACTTGGGAGTGTTTATACATGCTGTTAACAATGCACTTGTTTTCATCATCAGCAAGTAATAAATAGTGTCTACCTGGATGTTAGGATGCTCTTGCCTTGCAGACTCTAGATAGATTTCAAACGTTAATCTCCATTCTCGTAGTTATTAGGTTCCTTTGTGCTGGAAGTGGCCGTAACGTGTTGTTGTTTTTGTATGTATTGATCTCCATGGAAACTGACTGCAACACTTGCAACAATAATAAACCGTAAAGACCAAAACCCAACTTACAAAATATATCATTGCTATTATTATCGTTTTTGTTGTTTTACCTTGTTCTCTTGTAAAATTGAGAAAGACACGTCTCGGCAGCATCTTCTTTAAAAACCCATATCCAGCAGATAAGCCTTCACCGTCAAGTTCCATAGCGCAGCATCACTGATTTCTAACCTGACATACACGAAAACAAAAACAAACAAGATACACACAAACAAAAAAACGAATGGGGAAACTCTTAATTACCAAACTGATTTTGAGTGACTAAATGATCACAAAGTGTATAAAGGCAAATGACTGCATTTCTATTTGTTTCACACATTCTGAATTTAGTGTCTACCAATCCAAAAAACTAGAATTTGTTACTGGTTTTGAGTGACCAAATTGACTGACAAATGTGTAAAGACAAACAATGAAACTTAACCATCATATTGACTGCCCGCTGCATTTCTATTTGTTTTACACACTATAAATTTAGTGTCTACCAATCCCCGCTTATCTAGACAATCACGGTACCGCTTATCTAGACAATCACGATACCGGTTATCTAGACAATCACGGTTACTGGTTTTGAGTGACCAAATAACAAATGTGTAAAGACAAATGAAACTTAACGGGACAAATCAAAGACTGGACGCCGCATTCTATTTATTTTACAAATTATGAAAATTTAGTGTCTATCAGTCCGATAATATATAGAATTTCCCCAAAAAAATAAATTAAAAAAAAAAAAACAGAGAAGAAAGAGGATTTACATACCTTACACGGCTGAAAAAGGGGAACCTGGACTCAATCAAATACGGTGGGGCGAGAAGTTCGTTTACTGCGCGCTTCCCGTGAAGCTCACCTACCTACAAAGCAAAAAAAAAGAAAGAAAACATCCAAGTGTGCTTGATTAATTCGACAATAAAGTAGAATATGTAATTTGGTTTGGTAAAATTATACTTACTATAATTAGTCTTAATTGTGATAAATATTAAAAAAAAAATGGAGAACTGACCTTTTTAATCTTGTAGCCGTCGAGTAGTAAAACAAACCATAGGAGAAGCAGCTTTAGCAAATATACTTATGTCTGCAAAAGATCAAGAAGGAAACTTTGTTATTTTATACTCAATGATCTATGGAAATTTTCTAAAGAACATTAGCTTGACTTGAAAATGTTGTGTGCATTTTTATTCTATATCTCTGTGTAATCAAACCAAATACTGTCCTAATTCATTTTGCTTCATTATTTTACATCTCTGTGTCTAAAGCATTTTTTATCAAGCCATGACAACAATCTACTTCAGTAGTAGAGAAACCAGATGATTTACCTTCCAAAAAAAAGGTCTGTGATGTTCTTTGAGTAGATGTTGCTGTTGTTTTCGGGTTCTCTGCTTGTTGGTAATGCTGCTGGGGTTCTTTATTGGTTCACACTAGAAACAACCTTGGTTCTTCCTTCTATTGTGTATTGCAGGCGCTTGCGTTTCACCACATCCTGGACCAAAATTGACACAACAAAAAAAGTCAGCTAAAACGTCCATTTTAGGTTCCCAGAAATCTAATTCATAGAATATAATAAGACTATTATTATATGTTTCTCAGGTTGATGATAGAAGAAGATCACATCAATGGTGGAAACTAACATAATTAAAGATCATGGTGAAATATGTAAACCAATTAGTCATAATCCATTAAAAGAAAGATCTTTTTAACAACTTGGGGCGAGAACACAGACAGACAATTTTATTTCCAGTGGGTTCAATAATGATTCTAATTAAGTAAAAGTTACAAACATAGTGGGAAGGAGCCTGGGGCGTTTGCAAATTTTGGTGAATACAGAAATAAAGTTTGTAAATGCTAATAATGTAATATAATTGGACCAACATACCTTGTTGATTGTTTTCGTGAGAGGAGGCGCCACCATCACCACACACTCCCTTCTCCCTTGTTTGGTTGCCTTAGCGTTTGGACTTGGACATGTCCTCCTCGGCTATCAAAATATAGACAAACTCAGTAAACACATATGTCTTTGAGAGAGAGAGAGAGTTAATTTTAAAACTTTTGGACCCATTAAAACCTGCCTGGTGTGTGAGTGCATATACTATAGCTCTCTCTTCTTGATTGCTCTCATTTTGTTCTCACTTCATTTACACTTTTTGGGTTGCTGTCACACCAACCCATCTACACAAGACATCATGCAATGTTTCTAAATTTAGCAAGTCCCAGTTTTATCTCAAAACTTGATGTCCTTATCTTCTGATATATAGTATCGTTACCTCAGCTTGCTTAGCATGGATCATCCATCATCCTTTAGCTCAGATGGTTCTCTTGTCCATCTGAAGGAGCAATGAGCTTGGACTCGGACAAGAGCTTGCAAAAAATGACCGCATCTGCATGTTTCCTATAGCAAACATTGACAGCAAAAGTTTTCAGTAAGTGTTTGTTGGTTTGATTAAATGTTTCTTCTAACTTTGCAAAAAAAAGTAAACATAACTACTACTGATTGTAACCATCCACATCTATAATATGTTACAACAACAACCCAATGGTTTAAGCAAAAAATATGAATAGGGAAAGAGTGTCAGTGTACCAGGAAAGAGTCTCTGGAGGAGCTCTCTTATAATAGAGACGCAGCCAGCAAAGAATCGAAGGCAGCGAAAGACGGCGGTGGATCCGAGCACAGGGAAGGAGTGCCGTAACTACCTTCCTTTTGAGGAGGAAGATAGGAAACTCTCTTGCTGATGAAGGTCCTCCAGAGCTTCTTCCATTTCTTCTTCTTGCTGTTCTTTTTATCACCTAACTGAAAAAACAAAATCAATCAATGCTTTTTATGTTGTGTAATAAAGAAACACAGTGGACATAGAGATAGAGAAAGGTACTTTTCGAGATTACCTGATTGGGTTTTTTTCTTTTTGTTAGAGATTAGAGACTTTATCCAGTTTCCAGAGCCACTCCAGGTTACATGCGGTTGAATGAGAGAAACAGAGATAGCAAAATCAACACACAGAGAAGGTATGGATGGGTTGAGAGGGAAAGAAAGAAAGCAAAAGGAAGTACGCTTGTACACTTCCGATGGTACTCCGGTCAGTTTCCGTCTTGTTGCTCGTTGTCCGAAGGGGGTGGAGAACTGCTCTACAGGTCACAGCCCACATCTGCAGAGCCTCTACCCCTCCTAAAGTGACCGGCGATTTTTATTTAGAGAGAAAAAAAGTGACAGAGCGCGTGAGATCTCAAAGCCTGATGATCCATCTTTGTAATAAAAAAGCTTTTAGACTTTGACAGCTTGTCTGGATGATGTAGACATTGTAATAAACGGTAACATTGACTTTTAGCTTTCATTTAACGGTAACATTTTGATACACGTTGGGAAAATATGTCCACAAACATTATGAACATTTTATAATTATTTTATCACATTTTTTACTAACCGAAAATTATAATAATAAAGTATTATTTATGTTTTATTTTTTTGAAATCAATAATATTTATATTTTCATTTAAACATTCTTACATGTATTTCTTTGTACATTATGTTCCCTACTAAAAATAAATCATCTTAAAATAAAAATAACTTTTTTCTTTTCAATTATATAAAATTAAGATGTTTATTTGATTAATATTTAATTATGTATATCTATTTTTTTTTGAAAAATATATCTTCAGATAACAACACAATATATATAGGAATTATCTTATTTTAATACATATTATTTAGATTTTGGATAGTTCTTATGATTATTATTAATTTTAATTATATAAATAATCAAAATAATTTAAATCCGTTTTGGATTATTAACAACACAATATATGTATTTATTAATACATTTTTTACTAATTGAAAGATTATAATGATAAAGTATTGATTGTGTTTGAAACCAATAATATTTATGTGGGCTATCCCCTATGAAAAAAACTAAATTTTCCTTTAAATACTATATATACTATTTACCATCTTTCGTGTTGTTTAAAAAATACGTAAACGCACTCAAAATTTTTATATATGTTTTCTAAACTTATATTTATGGTACATGTGAATCATTTCAAATTTTCAAATG